CACATTTGTTTAAAAAAGCTCCAATCTTTTCAAACAAACCCTTGCATAATGGGACAGGTTGGTCTAGGTGCCGAGGTTCCCTGGGAACCGGATTTCGCCGTGACGCAACCGCGTTTTGCCTGAAATTTATGCAATAATTTCATATCATCTTTATGTGACTATAGATTGTTTATAATGTTACTTGAACCTTAACTAAGGCAATACTACAAAACTGCATGTGATTTTTAGTGTTTACAGTGTATTTCGAGTAATTCTGGGGAATTTGTCAGATTTTCAATAAATCTGACAGATTTTTGAAGCGCATTTAGCAGAACTTGTCCATGACCTTACGGTGACCCTGGTCGTTTGGGAGAAAAAAAATTCGCGTCCGGGCCTGCCCTTATAACCTTTTTGCCTCGTGTTTGACTGCCGTCACTGTTCTCTTACGAATTCGTATAACTCAATTCGGGTGGTTGTAAAAGAGCAATTAGCGATTACGACGGATTGCAGAACAAAATAATTGATTGCGCACACAGGCCACCTGTGAAAGTACAAGCGCCGGCCACGAGAACAGTTCAGATATTGTGGTTGTCATTAAAAGTGGCTTCATCGATGTATTCATCATCGAACACGAAGGAGTACTGTTCATTTGACAACCAAACGCTTTGTAATACATGTACACAAATAATAGCCCCGTTGCACTTGAAAGATAATCGACAAAAGTGAAATCCCCTCAGCAACTACAATGCGGTTCATTCATAAGCTGATCTCCCTCCTCAACACACACACACACACACACACACACACTCTAGAATTTGTATCCTTGTGGAGACATTTCTTTGTTCTCGTGTAGTAAAGTTTTCGATTTTGAAAGTGAAGTTTTAAAACCAGAATTAGTTTCCTTGGCTGAAATTTGGACTTGATATCCCTTTTCTAAAACTCTTCCATTTGCGACTGATCAACCCACCTTGGAAATTCCTAGTTTTTGAGTAAAATCCATATATCTTTTTCGTGAAAACCTTGTGGAGACCTATTCATCTATGTGAATGGCATGTACACAGCATTTAATTAATTTGATGTGATATTCAAGTGTGCTTCTGTGGCAATTTCCTAAGCATTTTGTCACACATGCGTAAGTAAAAAAACACCAACTGAGAAATTTTGATAATAAAGCATTTGATCATTTATTCAAATGATAAAATCTCTTATTCTCAGACTGATATAAAACACACAACACACAATCATTTTTGTTTGTATGTAATTTGCCACAGCTATTTATTCAACACAACATTGCCAGATACCATGGGCAAACTGGCAAAGAAATACAATATAGTGGGATACACCAGATCCCCTGGGTTGACCAGACCCAGCCATGAAAAGGGCACACCAGGCCCACCAAATATAGGTCACACAATATCCTGAAATTATGGCGCACCAGGCCTATCATCTAGGTCACACCATACCTAGGTCACTGAAATTCGGGAAATTAAACCAGACCCTGGTACATAGGGCACCAGACCCAGCCATGAATAGGGCACACCAGGGTGCAGACCAGTAAATCGGTCCGAAATTGCCTGCGCTGGCCAAATCACGATTTGCATGCCCTCAAAATCTTCGGTATTTGAGCATGCTGTGGGCCATGAACTTGAGGGATTGTAAAAAAATATGGGTGGAAGCCGTGCATAGGACTGGGAGCTTGCAGTTCTGTGTAATTTTGATGTAATTTGGACCCTAAAAGCGCTCTATTTTGTAATGGAGTGTAGGCATCGTTTTTCAAAATGGCGATGGGCTTCAGGACTATTTTCAGGGGTGATCATCTTCAGATGGAAATTTCTCCTAAAAGTCATCAGTTGACCTCCGGAAAATTGAAAAGAAAATGAAAGCTGATGAAATAAGCTTTAATTTGATGTGTGTCTCGAACACCTTGGAGAGTTGTGAGTATTTTTTCCCGAATTTTTGAAGTGGGAGTAGCTGGAGTTACCCAGCCCCCCCTTATAGACAACCCAATGATAAAACTCAGGGCTGGGTAACTCCAGCTAAAGTGGGAGCATTTACCATTGGGGTCTATGGAAGTTTATTTACTGGTCTGCTACCACCAGGCCCACCATATGTCACACCAGACCCTAACAATCTTTTGTTCCCTATTGTGTGCACGCTCCACCGGGCACCGTGTACCAGATCACACACAAACATTGTGTGTAAATTCATCTTTTTGGGGGTACCTACACGCAACAGCAAGCGCCATGCATGGCGTAAATCCCTGTACAGTAGCAGGGGTGGAACGGGGGATTACCATACCCATCGTAGTATCGTATGCATCGTAGTATCGTTCCTTGCATCGGTAACTTTCTTCACAAGAACCGTGAGCAATGTGTCAGGTTTAACAATGGTACTTCTGATTATGTTTTTCTGAATGGAGGCGTCCCTCAAGGCACTAAATTAGGACCTGTAGGTTTCCAAATTATGATTAATGATGCTGCTCTGAGTTCTAATTCCGAATATTGGAAATATGTCGATGATCTTTCCCTTGCTGAAAATAGGAAAATCAATGGCATGACCAGTTTGCAAAATGATTTGGATGAATGCACAGATTGGGCAAAACATAAACACCTGAAATTAAACCCATGTAAATGCCAGGTTCTTGAAGTGTGCTTCAGTAAATCCGCCCCAATTCATACTGAATTGTTCATCGGTTCTGAACAGCTCCAGTATGTCAACAAAGCCAAGGTTCTGAACCTCTGGTTTCAAGCTGATCTTAAGTGGGAGGCCCAAGTTGATCACATGGTAAAACAAGCAAACAAACGCCTCTTCATGTTGAGATCACTAAAAGTACGATTTGGCTTTGATCACGAGGAACTTTTGGTTGTTTACAACAGTTATGTCAGGCCCATGGTCGAGTACGCAGATGTGGTATGGCATTCTAGTTTAACCAAAAGGCAAACCGATGACCTTGAAAGGATACAGAAACGAGCTTGTAGGACCATCATGGGGAATCAGTACACTTCATACTTGGATGGGCTCAGCCTATGTAACTTAGATACACTAGATAGCAGAAGAGTAGGACACTGCTTAAAATTTGCTAAAGCACTTGGTACTAATTCAAGAACAACTCACTTACTCCCCCCTACGAGGCTAGCAAGTCATAGTAGGAACCTAAGGAACAGTAACCACATTACTCAACTCCCTATTAGAACCAAGCGCTTCCAACAAAGTCCCATCCCTTACTTCATTAACATTTTAAATGCCGGCTCTGTGTGATTTTATTGTGCGCAATGGTTTTTTTTTTAGGGGGGGGGGGCTGCACGTTGTCCCTCCTTTCTTGAAGTTCTGTCACCCTGGTTATGTGATGTATGTTTACGTATAATTTTAATGTATTGCCTACCTAGTATTTTTCTAATTTTTTTGGTATTAAGCAAGTTTTAATCGTTTTTAGAATTGATTGTAATGTAATTGTCTTTTGGAATTTGGCCCCCGGGCCACGATCTGAGACAAATAAAAGAAATGAATGAATGAATGAATGAATGAATGAAATGTATAACAAAAAAACATACCATAAAATTCTAAAATTAGTCAAGTCGTGGAAATTTGAAGGGTTCCTAATATAAACTGTACATGTAATGCAAACATGCTCACATCCCTTAACCTTACACAAATACAGTGCACTGAAAGCTTTTCTGTGTTTCTTCTTTGTCTTTCAAAACTATTTAGTACATTTAGACCATTGGAAAGTTACCAGATAACATCAAAATCGGTAGTTTTCTGTGTTACAATCAGATTGGTGTTTGCACACAAGCTCCATAATCCTGAACTCTGGCACCGTTTGCCAATGCCCAACGTAACAAAATAAAATCCATCTGAATAAACTGAGCAAGAATCTTCCACATCTAAATGGATATTAAGCTGTTTATCATTTTTTCAATGGTTTCACTGGAGCATATTAGACACTTCAGTTTGGAATTTTGAAAAAGAAAAGGACAGCACTGCTACATGTTGATTAGCTAATTAATCAGAGTATTGTTTTAAACATAAACAGATCACGAGATGCATAGATATTCCCGATACAAAATGGCTGTGAATTTGTCATAAATGACTTGGTGTCTTAACAGGCAAAGTTTTTTGCTACTCTAAGACTGGTTTCCTGAAACATTGTTTTTTACAGTTCATATCGAAATTCACTTTAAAGGGAACGTACAACATTTGCTGTTGCTGCAATTTCCAGAAATAAATGGATTTGGAGGATTAGTTTGTTAAAGTAAATATTGTTAAACTGACTTGTTTCATGTTTTGGGCTTGTATATGCTGGAGAACCAAGAAAACCAATCATGTTCTTATAGTCTGGTTCCCTGGCCCACTTAAGATGAAACAGAGAAATGTAAAGAATTTGAAGGTCAGAGAATCCCTCTAGCAGGCTTGTACCCCTTCATAGGCGTGTAATCAATTGCAAAGAAAATGCCGAATAACTAAATATGAAAGATTAGGAGCAGTTTTTAAAAAAAAAAACAGTTTGTTTCTTGAAAATGTCAGCACACACTGAGCCACAATTTTACAGGATTCTTCAGGCTGTCATTCCCTAGCAATCCAGTGAGGTATTTCGTGATAATTTGATCATTTCGTTTTTTGATGTTTGCAAATGTTGTATCTTCCCTTTAATGAATAGCCTGTGACTTGAATTCAGACTAGATGACTTGCGGTTGACTTGCGGTTGACTTGCGGTTGACTTGCGGTTGACTTGCGGTTGACTTGCGGTTGACTTGTTGATAACTTGCGGATGACTTGCGGTTGACTTGCGGTTGACTTGTGGTTGACTTGCGGTTGACTTGCGGTTGACTTGCGGTTGACTTGCGGATGACTTGCGGATGACTTGCGGATGACTTGCGGATGACTTGCGGTTGACTTGCGGTTGACTTGCAGTTGACTTGCGGTTGACTTGCGGTTGACTTGTGGTTGACTTGTGGTTGACTTGTGGTTGACTTGTGGATGACTTGTGAATGACTTGTGGTGACTTATTGTGACCGACTTGATTTAAACTTGGATTCTTATGCTACAATCCGTTCCATTTGTTCGTATCCTGCCCTCAAGATGAACTGAAAGTTGGCATTGCCCTGAAGAGGTTTCAACTCGTCACTCGTGAGCAGGGCGTCCACGTCAGGAAGATAGTATTCCAGATCTGCGCCTGGGTCGACAAACAGAAAATATAATTAGAGTTTTGGTTTTAGATTTACACAAAGCAGCACAAAATTAACCCTTTGAGCCCACACTCAAAGGGCTTGCCAGTGGATTTGACCAGAGTTGTAATGACTCGAATCAATGACTCGACTCGAGTCCTACTCGAGTCACAATTTTTGGTGACTCGACTCGACTCGAGTCCCTCATCAGAATGACTCGACTCGACTCGAGGAAGGCTAATGAGACTCGAGTCCCAAAAATAAAAGCAAAACTTTGCGATAAATATTTGCAATGACTTACGCCGGTGCCGGTTTTTGTTTACGTCACGTTAGAATTTTTGCGAATATTGTATACATATACACACGTGGTTTGATCAGTGTCCCCATTAGTTGAATGACGATCAGCTGGCACCCCCTTTTTATTTTCATTAAGAGTCAAATTTGGTGTCGCCACATGTAATAGCCTGAATTTAATATTTAAAAAGCCAAAAATAACTTCGCTTTTGTGTTTTTTTATTGTATAGTGCTCAAATATTTGTGACTTGAATTGACTCGAGCTAAATACTTGACTCGACTCGACTCGACTACACACTGTGACTCGACTCGACTCAACTCGACCTTCTTGACCTAATGACTCGACTCGACTCGAGTCACTTCTTTAAAATGACTCGACTCAACTCGAGTCACAAAAATCAGTGACTCGTTACAACTCTGGATTTGACATCACACACTCTCACTGCAAACCTAAAGATGTCTGACGTTGCATTGATTGGGACAATATATATCTTAAACTTGCACAGTATAAAATCGGCAGAACTTAAGATTCACCAATCACGAATGGACACTAATGTGCCAATGTCAGACGTTTTGTGCAACAATAATTTGACATCTTGGGTTTCATGGTGTGTATCAGTTCCATAATTACTGGTTTTTTATGTTGGTCAATGCTGCTTGAGGTTTTTGTTTGCGTTTTCCTTTCAACCATGTTATTCCACGTCCAAAAGTAGTTGTCTGAGACTCGGACAAAGGTTCGCTTGGCCAACTCACATGCTGCTTGGCTAATAGTCTGGTTCCCCGGCCTGACAATTTCCCCCGACGTCCACACGTCTAAATTGTAGGTCAGGCAGCCTCCGTCAGGCCCTTTTTCAAAGCACGGCTTTGTTTCCGAATTCACTTTATCACTTAAAGCTTTTTATTGTTCGGATCAAATTTTTAAAGTAAATCACTTGCTTCATATATCATACAGTTATGATATACAGTTTTATACTTTTGTAAGAAAACGTTGACTAATTTTGACCTGGGATCTTCAAAGTTAGACACCCAAATAGCACTGTTAGCAGGCGGAGCCGAATTGAGACCACGCCGAGTTTTGGAAAATGCCGGTAACGGTCGTCAAATTCAAACTACATGTAGTACATGATGCAGCAAAAAGTTCGCCCCTCGTATACAATCCGAGTACAAAATCGTCGTTAAATTTCAATTTTTATAAATAAAAGCAATGGATATTAATTATCAACTAGTTTTTTAAGTTTTAATAAGCAATTAGCAGTTATAAAACCTATATTATAGTTGGAAATACTCAGGCACTTTCCGATTGTCGACGAAATGAATTCGGCAAACTTTGGACATTTTCGGAAAAAGGAGGAATGCCTCCTGTTTTAGTCACGTGACGTAAATTGTAATACAATGTATTACCGGAGGCTACCGGACCTAAAATTCAACAGGAATAGTCAGAATCTTTTGGTCTGGGAACCAGACTACTTGGCTAACCCCCGGTTCAGACAGGTGTTCCAGAGCTGCGCTGAACCAAATTAAAGGCAAGATTTGAATCTAGTACATGAATAGTTTGACGTCTGAAACAATTAGGAGCGACTAGGCACGCCAGATGGCAAAAGATCGACTGACGACTCGGGAACAACTTGATTTCAGACAGCGCTCTAGTCATGAGCTGAACTCAATGCAAATGTATGTAAGTAAGTAGTGACCTTACGACATATCACACAAGCCACCCATAAATTAGGACTGCAGTCGATGTGTTTAATGTGCGATGCAGTACTTTTAATTTTGAATGTTTTTTTTTTTTTTCAGAATCAATCCTTTCAAACACGACATTTCAACGTCATGTTATAGAGCAAGAACTTATATTAAATGTACGTACCTCTGTTGTTCCTATACAACACAAGATACAATTTCTTTAGTGAAAAACTGAAACTTCTAGTATCCATATGGTACAGACATAGCACAGTCTTCAAGACAACGCGAACATATATGGCGTGCTAACTGCATGGTTAGCTGTCTTTGATACGCGCGCAGTACGCTCCGATAGTCATGGCAGCGTCATTTACGTCTCTACACAGCCAGGCATTTAGTGAAGGAATGCGCATATGCATCGACGCTGCGCAATGCCGGGTTGTTGCTAAGATGGTGTATTTGTTTGTTTGTACACAATATTCTTGGGAATCTCTACTGTTTTTGTGAAGTGTCCTGTTTGCCTGTCTGTATGAGGTCCAACTAAGAGGCCTCTTTTGAAGAGAAAAAATTGTTTTCCTCCTTCAGTGTCATGTCTACAGAGGATCCCTGCTCCATTCAAGGGTTACTTTGGAGGCAAATGAAAAATCCACAAATATTCAGCCTTGGGTTATGTGGTAGATGTATACATGTTTTTGTCTTAAAGGCACTCCTAAAAATATCCTTGTAATCCCATTTAGTCGTGTGCATTTATGGGTATAACGGGAACGCGGGTACCCTAATTGAAGCAAAGCATGGGTACCCAGGTACCCAGGTGCCTGTAAAAAGAAAACGACCCCAAAATTCAAATTGCAGAAGTTGTCTGAAGAGCTGCATTGCTTTATGGTGTAAACTGCTACTTTTGCGAGCGTCATCTGCAGCACGTTAAAATGCACATAAGTGTGAAATGACTGAAATCTGTTTTGGTTTTCCCATGTATCCTGGTTTTCATTTTTGAAAATTTCCCACAAGTGGCATTCAAAACATTTCTTTTTCATTGTCTGAGAAGTTACTATGTAACTAAGAAACTAGACACCCCTGTTGGTCATCACTTCAACCTGCCTAACCACTCCATTTCTGATATGATTTTGCAGGGCATTGAATCTCTTGGCCATCGCAAGGACTCAGTTCGCCTCAGCAGAGAGAAAGTGTGGATGAATCGTCTTCGAACTATTCAACCACATGGTCTCAACATCCAACTTGGAAATGATTAATCCTTTTCTTCCTCCATTGTCTTCTGTTACAGATAATCCACCTGGTCTTCCTTGTTTGTGTTTACCCATCTTCCCCCATCTTTCATCCCTTTCCACCTCCATACTGTCCCCCCCCCCCCCCCCCCCCCCGCATCATCCCCCTTCACTCTCACACTCTTTTGTCCGTTCCCATTCCCTGTGACCTTTGATCCTTCCCCTTTCTGGTCCCTCCCCTGTTTATACCAGACCCCTTGTGGTTTGCCATCTCCCTTTGTTTCTCTGTTCTCTCATCCACCCTCCCCTGCATCTTTCCACACCTTTCCCACCTAATCCTTCTTTTGTGTTTCTTCTTTCAGCCCTGCATGTTTGTGTGCACCCCCATGTTAATGTATGTACCTCTGTCATTTCTGTTTTAGCCTCTGAAGAAGAACTTGCTAAGTTCGCAACGTCAGGCCACATTAATTTTTAGATTTAAGTTACTATGTAATTTGATAAAGTTTGCTAAGGGTACCCGGTCCATAATCTGGAACTGGTTCCTGACATGGTTCCTCAGGTACATGGTTCCAATGCACAGTTCCACACCCATAATTCTTTTAGACTACCCTTCGAACAAAAACAAATGTGAAGAAAAATTCTCATTTAGGCTTTTTTTTGGGGGGGGGGATCTTGAAATCAGAAATCCAGAAAAAAAAATCTGGACAAATGTTAACTATTTCACATGGATTTCTATCAGAACTTACCAGATTCCAGTATTAATCGAGCAGTTCTGAAGAACACAGTGTCCTCATAATGCTCCAAAGGGTCCACCCCAGTCCCTCTGTCAGCTGACCAACTACGCAAACGACCAAAAAGAGGGAGACATACTTTTCGAATAAGGTCTTAGGGTATAGACCTTGAAATCACAAAAAATGTATCTGCACTTACACAGAGAGCTCGCAAATGATTCACTTGAAAAACAGAAATGCCAGGATCGGTAAGTGGGGCAGGTAGGGCAAATTTTCGGGGGTATTGTACCTTTGATGATACAAGCATGGCCTTTGGCACACAGTCAGAGTATTTCTTAAGAAAGATACTTGGCTAAAGTGCCATCACAGATTTGTCCGTTGAAAAAAATATAGGTAGAATTAGAATTACAAGCAATTTTCAAAATGGCTGCCATTGCTTGTTATTCTACTTATATTTTTTCAAACGGCAAATCTGTGACGGCCCTATAGCCAACCATTTTTGTCATGACATGCTCTGACTGAGCGCCAAATGCCATGCTTGTATCATCAAAGGCACAATCCCATCACCTATCTGCCGTACTAGGTTGGCTGTGAGGGAAGGTGGTTAATGAATATTTAAAACTTTTGAATGGCTTGTGGTTCCACCAAGCAAGGATTCACAACTGATTGTGGCTACACATTTTTTTTTCTGTGTGCAGCATGCATGGCTCAAGGTGTTCATTGGACTGCTGTACTCACGGCCATGTCAATGTTTAAGCAGGTCGATCCCTATACATTGGAGCACACAGTTGTTTTCTGCTAAGTCTTCATGTCCATTGATGCCCAACACCTCCATGCCCGGACTAGAGCTTGGAAACCCTGTCACAATTTTCTCAGAGAAGTTTCCTGAAACCTTTGCTCTTATGCCACTCACATTTACCACTGTTTAGATGATTCCCCATCATCAAGCAAGGGTTTGAAGACGATAAATTACAAAAACAAGTTAAAACTCCCAAAAAGTATAAAGACCATGACTTACTCATCTTTGAGTATGGCTTTGCACCATACATTGAGCCTCAGGTGATCAATCTTTGCATCGTCATCCTGGAGACACACAGAGAGAAGTTAAGATTAGCATTTATACTGAAACATTACGAAGAAGTAGTTTTCTTATTCAAAAAAAAAAGTCAGAAGTTTAACCCCATGCGCACTGGGAAGCGGTCATGGCCGCGGCCGCTAATCCTCATTGGAATGCAGTTGCCAGCTGTGGTATGCCGTGGCACACAGCTAGTGGGTAGTTCCACAGCTGCTGCTTTTGTGCAGTCCCGCTACCACACAAAGGCTGTGCAGTCATTGCTCTATGTGTGGAGGAATGTCCCCATTTCACCCCTTGCTTAAGGGGTTAACCAAGTGGCTTTCCCTAAATGGCCAATTCACTGTGCCAAAATGATTCACTGCAAACTCATTCTTAAGTGCTTGAAGGTCATTCATACTATGTTGAAGTTTCTTGCAATACAATTGCTGGATTAAACTAGTGGCAAGTATGCAGCTCAAGATTGCAGTAAAAGGGTCTGGCAACTTTTGGTTTGCAATATTGAGAATATAATAATGTGTAATTACAAAGCGCACGTATCGACCAGGATTGGTGCCCAAGGCGCTACGTCATAATACCCTGCTCAGTGGGACAATGAAACATTGCAATACCATCTCAGCTCCCTGGGGAGTATACAGCTCCATGCTGTCATGTTGGCGCAAAGCAGCTAAAATCAATCACAATAACAATCTCTGCCCTCACAGGCACCCATTAACTCCTGGGTGGAGAGAAGCAATGAGTGACAAAGTGCCTTGCCCAAGGACACACACACCACATCCCCAGGCTGGAATCCAACATTGGTCATCCAACAAAAATAGTCAATGTTTTCATTGCATAAAACGCCTGAATTACGGTTAGAGTAATGGAGTCATCAATAAAGAAATTCACTTCTTACTTGAGAAAGTCGAGGAAAAAGTCAGAAAGACTAGGGCACCGTTCATGGTGCTTCAATCATGTCCATGATTCAACCACACAACTCCACTACTCCACTTGCATTCATACGAGGGGAAAAATCAGGCATTATGGTCTTTTTCTTCCAACAAATGCCAGTGAAATGTTTCGCTAATGCTCTCTTCGCTATCCACGAGATAATAATCACGATTTTTAAAGCATTGCATTTTGTACAACTAAATCTGAAACCTCCGAAAATCGCACAACATAATGATTTTATCCACTGGATCGTTCACAAGGCTACCCGTTCCCGACCGGCCATGTGCTAGCGGACTGTACGGTGCGGTACGGTACGTACGCTGGTACCACTGCATATCATCTTCGCACGCACGTGCGACACAGTGATTTTTCCATGTCACCTGTCAATGTTTAACCTTTTGTTCAGCCGGAGAAGGCTCCGATCAGTGTTATGCCCTGTGTTTCTACCGTTGAAACACTCCAATAACGACTGGTAAAAGAGATTAAAACTACGTTTGCGATGATTTTAACGTGCATTTCCATCGACTTTTCATCGACTTTTCTTCGAAATTATGATTGAAATAAAATGACATTTTGTGAAAAAAATTGTTACAAAATTGAATTTTGTGGGACACTTTGTAAGAAAATCGGAAATTTCATTGGAAAATTCAAAAAGTCGGATTTCCGATTAAAATCGGAAAAGTTTCATCTCTGATGCATATTCAAACTTTAATGCACACGCGTGAAGTATGCTCAGAATTTCTTGAATTAAAAGTGCGAGAATTCCCAAGACGGGGGTTTATTTCTCTGGTTGACTTTCCCCTCTTCTGTTGAGGCAGCTTACCCATGCTTGCAAGGCAGGGGAAACACATCCCAAACCAGACTGGGAGGGAGACTAGTACCTCCTTACCTTGGGTAAATACTGTAGGAGGTCAAGAGCCTTCTTAAAGTCAAACTCATTGGCATCTGTGTTCTTCTCGCTGATGTATAACTGCTCACACGAGAAAAAGGTTAAGAAACCTAGGAATCAAAATGCACTATGCATGAAGAAAGCAGGCATGCAATTGGGAATTTAGAAAAAACGAGGAAACTCCAAACCGCACAAGACTTTGTACAGTATTGTTAAATTTGTAATGGCATTCACGACAACTTAAAAACGAGGAAATCAGCAGATCTGAGGAAAAGATGCATGCCTGAGAAAGTTATACCTATCATACCCCATCCCCCCACCCCTGAGGCGATTCATTGAAGAAACTAAGTAATGTAGTTTAATAATCACAAGCTGAACATTTTATCAGTAATTAGACCTTAAATTGCAAGCTGTTCCTTTTAAAATGATCTTTACTCAAAAGATCACTCATTAATTTCTACGATGGGTTTGATAGTACTAAGTGTACTACTGTATTCAGGGGTGAGATTTGGGGGAAATAAAAACAATTCAAAAAAAAAAAAAATATTTGGCGGATTCCCAGAGCAGCACAGGGTCAGTTTTAAGCATACATGTACATTAACCCTAAAAGGGCCGGGTTATTTTAACCATCTCTCAGCCGTGGGGGGGGGGGGGCGGGGGATTCCGCGCCCTACCCATATGATCGCGGCCATCGAGTGACGAAAAATTTTGAAACTCGGTACATGCATATGCATGAGGGGGGGGGGGGGGGTGGGGGTGCGGGCGGGGGATTCCGCGCCCTCCCCGTATGATCTCGGCCATAGAGTGACGAAACATTTTGAAACTCGGTACATGCATAGAGCAACTCTTTATGAACATACACAAGAAATTTCATGACTATATGTCTAAGAGTTAATAAAATGTCTTATGGCTAATTAATTATGCATATGTACGAATGGTAATTCTGCTCTGTGTACACAACGTATGGGAACATTAAGTTTTCACAGTACATAGCGCTGGCAAATTTTTTTCGCTGCGTGGCAACCCGTGGTCAAATTTTCATGTTTTTGGTATCAAAAGATGCGCAAGGCTCGAGGCTAAAAAGTCATATCAGCTCGGGTCGCAAAAAAAATGTTTTCGAGGCTATCGCGGAAAAGTTGAGAGGGGCCCCCCGGCCCTTTTAGGGTTAATATACACTCTTAAAAACTGCCCATAGAAATTCCTCATTATAAACCTTTGATGGAAACGAACCAGTGGCTTAGGCTTTTCTGAAATCTACAAATCTGGGAAAAATCCGGGGAAAAAATGTCATCCCTGACTTTTTATGTCGAAATAGTTGTGCGATATACCTATGAAAAGTAGTGGAAATGACATTTGTGATCACAAGAACTGGAACTGTAAAAAACAAATTCACACCATTATGCATTCAAAAAAGAAGCTTTCAAGTTAAAAAAAAAAAAAAACGTAAAAAATAAATAGAAAATGAAATAAACACAAACATGCAATTTACCCAGATTAGCTGTTCGGGATCAATGACTGGTAAATCCCCCTCACTGTTGAACAATTCCATTTTCTACAAAATAAGAAAAGCACAATCAAACTCATCTAACGCAACCAATAATTATATAATATTGGATGGCTTTGAGGGGAATATACAAGAATATATATTCGACTCGTGCAATATTGTTATAGTGAGTGCAATATATTCTTGTACCCCCCGGAACAAATATTAATATTGTTATTATTTATATCAGACTGACAATAATCTGCAAGAAAAAAGTTTTGTGACGCTGTCTTTATTTCTCAAATTTCGTCGAACATTCTTCGCTTTCCGAAGCACTTCTCGTGCCACTTGAAGCTGCCATTGTGATTAACACGAGTGTGCGTATACCCAGCTGCACGCTGCGTCCGCGTGCGACGGTTCTGCGTGATACAGTCTGCTGATTGGTTGACAACTGTGAGGCTCTCAGAATATTTACTGCCTTTTTTGTGGCCTTCAGTGTATTTTCTGCATCTCTGTTCTTTAAAAGTTATCAAACCTCGCACCGTTCGAAGCAGCCATTTTTGTTGACAAAACGTACTACAGCTCTGTTCACTGGTTAACAACCATGAGTACTGTGTGCCCTTGATTGTGCGGGAACCAGTGAAATTTGTTGAAATGCTCAGATGAGGACAACATCAAAGATAATATTGCAGTCATCTGGGTACTTTTACCGACAAGATATTATAGTCATCTGGCTACTTTTTCCAAAAGCACAAAATACACTCATTGATATTTAACACACGAAACCGGATATGAATAACAATTTAAAAATTCGTCCAAACTGTAGACTGAAGTAAAAACTAATCTTTGTGACCAGATAACAGGTGGATTTCTTTCACATTAATCTATAACTTCCACTTACTTGAACTAATTCTTTAGGCAGCTGTTCCTGGTGTAGTATAACATCCAATTCACTGTTAATATCTGTCAGAAAAAAATATAGTATACTGTCATGTATTGAGGTGTACAGCACAAACAACATGCAGAAATGCTATATTTGTTGTATTTTTTTTAGTAAAGACAAGTTACCTAGTGAGTATACAGGGGAGTGTGTGGCCTAGTGGTTAGGGTTCGTGACTCATGATCAGAGGGTCCGGGGATCGAATCCAGCCGCTGGTCATATATTGTGTCCTTGGGCAAGGCACTTCACCCCACTTGCCTCTCTCCACCCAGGAGTATAAATGGGTACCGGCATTAGCTGGGGAGTAACCTGCGATGGACTAGCATCCCATCCAGGGGAAGTAGAGATATTCTCAGTTGTTTCATGCAACTGAAACCGGAGATAAACGCCGGCCTGATGAGCCACATTGGCTCGGGACAGACTTTACTACTACTGCTATACAAACTTTTAAAACTTTAAAGTGCTTCTTGCTAGTAATGCAAAATTTGAAGGAAGATGTTTAAACAGAAAGAGGCAACAAATTAACATGTTATAATTACATGTGCTTTTAGTCTGCATCATATTGAACAAATTGCCTTTTTTTTAAAGTGGACTCATGGTTACTTTTGCAAAACGAAGACTGATGCAGTATTTTCACTGACAACTTATGAATTTCAACACCCTGAATTTGGAGTGAATATATAGTTTGACATGAATTCACCGTGAATTTTATTTTCATGGCGATGTCATTGCGAAGTATCTGGTGAAATCGCCCTGAAAATCATCACATAACAAGGACATGTTAAGGTCAAGTAAAATGTGAAAATGCAGCGATGCCTTCTGTGGAGCCCAGCTTATTAACTTTGTGGTTGCGTTAATCCATTGAGCAGTTTATCAAGTTGGGGCCTAATCCCCCTCATAATAAACAGGGTGTTGGATACTTGTAGGAGGACACTAAGACCCCGTTCCCACTTGATCCACCAATTGGGGGATCTGATCCACCTTTTGCCAAATTGCCGGATCAGATCCCCCAATTGGTGGATCAGATCCGGCAATTGTGTGTAGTGGGAACGCTAACCGTTATAAGGTGGATCAGGATCAGATCCACCTTTTCTGATCCACCTCTGGACCAGGATACAGATCCCCCAATTGGTGGATCAGATCCGGCAATTGCCGGATCACGATCAGATGGGAACGCAAAAGGTGGATCTGATCCGGCAATTTGACCTGTTAACATCCGCCCGGTGCACGAGTGGCGCGAAAATGTTGCGGTCTCATGAACGAAGAAACACATTTTCAGGCGTGTAGCTCATGTGAACATTTCCAGCGTATACAACATGCACAATAAACAACCGCTGAACTACGGGCTAGCACCGCGCATGCAAAAGCGCACGTGGTATCCTAAAACTACACTATAGGCCTTATTTTTGTTGCGTGTTCGTCCATTACTAAACCTTTTTCATTCCTGAAATTTTACTTATTTTTCCATCCATAAATGACTCTGAGTCCGCACTCACCAAAAGACTTCACTTTGGCACAGAATCATGGAAAAGCTTACGAGTATGCGATAAGAATAGTGCCGATAACGCGGTACATACGGAGGTGACAAATCTGAAGTATTGATTATAGAAAATTGAAAATTGATGTCGTAGTACATCATGTGACCGTTTCTAACCAATGAGAAGCTTCAGAACCAGGGAATCCCTTATCGATGCATTGGTTTCTGCCGTGATGTCACACAATGAGTGGCTCTGTTGGATTTCACCTGTTAATTTATGCACGCACGGATCCTCTACGGATCCGTGATTTATGTTGGTGAATTCGCCTAATTTTTGTCTGTGAATTCTGATAGTGCTGTTTGAAAACTAACCCATCCTGGCCTAGCATGCAACCATGCAACAATGGCACTCCCACAGAGCGCGCGTAATTCCGAACTCAGTGACCTTTCGGACCCGACATTTCCGTACGAAAAGGTGGATCAAGCATAAGTGGGAACGCGACTTGCGGTTTCGTTGCGGTAAGATAACGATCACACCAAAATGCCGGATCTTGATCCACCTTTTTCCAATTCAAGTGGGAACGCGGTGTAAGTAGCTTTTGTGTACTTGGGCAGTGGGCATTGGGTAGTAAGTGTAGCTGTCAATCAGACCATTAATCTGTGGTTTTCACACCTTCAGTGGAGGGAAGCTGGACCTGCTGTACAGTTATGAATAACAATAGACCCTTGGACCTCAAGAAGACCCATGTAAAAACACCATGAAACTGCAGTGAGTTTATCCCCTGCTGAGGGGCCCAGTTTGGCATCGTGAAAATGAGCTTACTTGGCAGTGAAAAAAAGTTTCACGGCGACTTCATTGCAATCTATATTTTCACAGTGTTGAAATTCATAGTCATTTTGTTAATTTCAGGAAATAATTAACTATTTCCTGAAATTAACAAAATGTTCCTATTACCAGTTATTTAAAATTATATGGATTTTTTTTAGAGAGCTCAGTTCAGATTTAGTGTCTCTGAAACAAGATTATGTTCATGTTGCTGAAGACGACATAAATGTGACTTCAGTTGTGAATGATTTCAAGAGGGATTACATCATTTCTATAAATAGCTTATTTATGACTAGATACACACTAAGTGGAGAATATACCTTCAAGTTCTGCCTCTGGAACCTCATCACAAGCCAATGCAGTCAACTTACTCAGACTCAGTAATGTCTGAAACAACAGAAAAAAACAACAACACATGATTAGTTACTTCATTGGTAGTATCCCCCAAACAGTAATTATAACATATTGGGCAGAGTGTTATTTCATGTAATTATTTTAGGCCAAAAAAAAAAAGTCTCCGGTTTCTGGTATGCGCGCGCGTCGCCGTAGCCATGCGCGTCGGCAAAATGAAAAAGTTTTTTTTTCAATGAAAGATGATGTCTCAAAACCGCCAAACTCGCTGGTTTGACTGGAATCCTGCTGCTGCACAATTTTAACGGTTTTTAGATGGGGTTATGATCGAGAATAAGCTTTATGTGGCCTCTCTGGTCTCCCATAATATTTGCACTAAGTTTAGTCGGGCACCATTTGCAGTCATCAGCCGACATTTGAAGCAAAAAAAAAGGTAAAAAAAAAAAAAAAAGCCGCGTCGCCGCACCACTTTTTGGGCAAGCTCCATACCAGAAACCGGAGACTTTTTTTTTTGGCCTTATGTCTGGAGATGTATAGTGATACTCGGTGCGGTTCGTGCTTTTGTTATAGTCCTACTAGCTTAGATCAAGCTTGTGATTTTTTTTCAGGCAAGCTTGTGGACAGCACTGAGCAAAAACGATCATACCATTAGGTTAATAGGAAAAAACCTTTATTAAACATCTCAGCTTTTAGAAAAATACAGAATTCTGAAATTTGTATAATGAAATGTCGGAACCAACGCCCAGGGCTTTATTAAAATTAATGCATTGGATGGGTGGGGGTGTCAAAAACCAGTTATGTTCAAAGAAACACTATGTTTTTACAAAATTATTGAAAAAACCCTCTTATCCCAGAAGAACAAAAGTGGTCCAGAGACACACATACATACTGAAATTTGTATCCTTGTGGAGACATTTCTTTGTTTCGTGTACTAAAGTTTTCGAGTTTGAAAGTACAGTTTCAAAATGCTCTTATTTTAACCAGAATTAATCTCCTTGGCTGAAATTCGGACTTAATATCCCTTTTTTAAAACTCTACCATTTGCGACAGATCAACATACCTTGGAAATCCCTAGTTTCTGAGTAAAATCCAATATATCTTTTTCGTGAAAACCTTGTGGAGACATAGAAATTGCCCTGTGGAGATATAAACAATCTTTTGTTCCCTATTGTGCATGTCTCAGAGGGCATGTCTCATGTCAAGAAGGCACGGTGTATCAGATCACTTCTTCTTCCAAGGCATTAAATAAACTGAACCTGAACGAACAAATAAATCGAATCTGAGAAACTAAGCAAGAAGACATACCTTTTTCTTTGCCAGTGATAGCGTCTCTTTTGCAGACAACCGTTTCAGGGTTCCCTGAGCCTATTGAATTTGAAATGAATAAAGAAATTTAAACATATGCATCCTTTCTAGACCTCAGCATTTTTGCTAGGAACTATTACTGTTACTTAACATGACGCTTTAAAGCTAGAGTCCATCATTTGCAGCCATCCGAAAAGTAACTGGCGTAATTATTGGTGAAAAACAAACTTGGTTGAAAGATAGTAAGGGAACTAAACTCCCTGTGAAATTATTCTTTCTGGGAAGCTGTCATTTTGAAGTAATCAACGAAAGAAGGCATTTCCAACGGTGATTCTTAAGAAGCACCGTAGGAAAATTTAAATTAGTAGTTCGTTTTGTTATTCAGCGCAGCGCGCGCAAGTATTGGAACGACGCACGCGCGCGCACGGTTGTTATAATTCGTCGGATCAGAGCGCGACGTCGCGTAAAGCTGCAATTCAAAACAATTCAAAACACGATTCAGTAACTTTTGATTTGAAATTGAGATCTTAGAATGCTGTTTTTCTCGGAATGTACAGCTAAAGCTTAGCTGAAACTTCATCAGGTTAGTTGCTCAGTATCCTTCATTAGATTTTGAACTCTTGTTCCTTCAAAGAACAAAATGCACAAATTACAAATGATGGACTGTAGCTTTAAGCCCTTTTTTGTTTTGAGTAGATTGGATGAGGTAAAAGCAGAGATTGGTTTGGCCAGATTCTGGATGATTGTTAAAACTACACTATAATTAACTATTTAGATCAAGTTGACCCCATGTCAGTGTCATAAATACAAGCCTCATGGGCCGTTTTCTGACTCCACATCATAGATATTCCAGATTTGAAACGAGTCACTGAATTTCGCGACTTGAGTCAAGTCGAGTCATTTTAAGGCAGTGACTTGAGACTAGTCAGTTGGTCAACAAGGTCCATTTGATTCGAGTCCAGTTACAGTGTGTGCTCGAGTCGAGTCGAGTCAATTTTTTTTGCTTGAGTCAATTCGAGTCACTGACATTTGAACACTATCTAATGAAGTGTCACAAACCAAGACAGAGATTGGCTAAGGATTTAGCATTTGTTTGTTTGACTTTCTTATTTTCAACCTGTAGGAGGTGTGCAGTGACACAACAAGGTAGGAGTCTATCTGTATGTGATGCGCCTTGCCAGCTTAAAACTTGACGTGAAGTAATAAATAATAAAACCGGAGACTTATATAGCACACGTATCTACCAACAATTAGGTACTCAAGGTGCTGGTAATTATGTCTATTATTACAGACAGGTAAATGAAGTACATGAGAAATATGAGACCCATATATATGTAGCATCTTTATAAGGGTTTACAAGGTGTTGCGGCACATATTGCAGCCACTGCCAGAAACACTGGGACAAACCCCTTCTCTTAGCGATATGTGTTACTGGGTTCTTTAACGTGCATTACACAACACACTGGACCTACGGCTTTACGTCCCATCTGAAAGGCAAAGTAATAATGGTAAAGTGCCTTGCTCAAGAGCACAAGCACCATGTTCCCCGTCAGGATTTGAACCCACATACCACGGCACACCAGTTGAACACCATAACCATTGGATCAAGCACCCCACAAAAATAGGCTAACGTTTAGTAACTTTGTACCAGTCGTTAGTCATTGATAACATTAATTTTTTTATTTTTTCCGTGCATATTTGGGACACGAGTGTTGATAAGACTTCTACTCAAGATGAGTCTTTGATGAGAGACTCCAGTCAAGGCAAGTCATTTGCTCACAGTGACTCGAGTCAAGTCAAGTCCTTTATAAAAAGAGTCGAGTCGAGTCATCAATATTGAGACTCGACTCGAGTCTTTGACTCGCTTCATCACATCCGTTGATTCAGGCAGTGTTGGAACTAGTCACATTGTACCTTGATGTAGTCCTTGACTTGCACATCATGGAGCCAGCTCAGGTGATCATGGGCCTGGAGGAACTCGCTCAGTTCAGCATGCTGAGAGAACGGCTGCGATAACAGCTTGCCACGCTTCCCTGTCCAAAAAGAAACCAACCCAAAACAATGAGAAAATGTTGCTCCTTAATACACTGTGACTGGGGTTGGGATGGAAACCTGAGTACCCAAAAAACCTGCTGAAAATGGCGGATACCCAGCTCTTATTTGTGGTTTAATTACCCAAAACCTCCTTTGAAGAGTCGATACAACCTTTCTGTACGGAATACTTTTTGTATTGAGGGTAGTTCCCAACCATTACCGACATCAGATAACAGTTGATATAGTGGGCTCCATCAGCTTTTATATCAACATAAGGTTGAATGAAGAAATTGACTGAACATTATTTGAAACTGCAACCTCCAGAATACCATACCAATAGAATGGTCCAGACCTGTATTCACTGTCTCCCCAATTGTCAAAGTGTTGTTCAGATGACATTGATAAAAAGCCATAATCCAGTATGTAGCTAATCTGAGGTTTAGCATGACCTAAACATGAGTTCACCAGTTTCCAAAGATTCAACATAATTCCCTCTGAGTTTTACAATTACTTTATCATTTAGAGAGATACAAGACATCCTATGGACTCCATAGCAGTTAGCGCTTTGTCACCACTAGTGCAAGGTATCTGGTGGGCGGGACACACCACGTGTAAACACTGTAGTGCTTTAGCACTCGTACTCATACTCAAGTACAGTACGTTTTTTTGGTACTCGTACTCTCGTACTTTATAATAATAATAACGGAGTCTTATATAGCACACGTATCTACCAACAATTAGGTACTCAAGGCGCTGGTTATTATGTCTATTATTAAAGAAAGGTAAATAAAGTATATGAGAAATATGAGACCCATTATGTAGCACCTTATAAGGGTTGACAAGGTGCTGGGGCGCATATTGCAGCCACTGCCAGAAACACCGGGGCAAACCCCTTCTCTTAGAGATAAGTGTTACTGGGTTCTTTTACGTGCATTACACAACACACGGGACCTACGGCTTTACATGTACGTCCCATCCGAAGGACGAAGCAATAATGGTAAAGTGCCTTGCTTAAGAGCACAAGCACCATGTTCCCACGGTCAGGATTCGAACTCATGTACCACTACTTGTGAAAATGTACTTGTCCTTGCAAAAAAATAGTCATTACTCGTACTAATGACAAGGTACTCGTACTCTTGCAAATGCAAAACATTTTAAGAGTTTCATGCAGGAAAAGAACCAGTTTCTACTTTTGGGAGGCTTCTATAGCAAAATTATGCCCTTGAACATGTTGAAAGCACGTGATACATTAGAATTTGCTCCTACCAGTGGAAAGTACTCATACTTGTTCTCGTACTCCTACTCCTACTCATGGACAAAAATTACCATGTACTCGTAGTCATACTCATGACAAAGTACTCACACTCATGGCAAGGAACTTGTACTCGTACTCATGGAAATGCACTATCAGCTGCAACACTGGCACACTGGTTTGCACATGTATGGAGCGAAATACACAAGACTAATTATATTATAATGTGCAAAAACCTGCAGCATTTTCGCTTGAGCACAAGTTGACAATAATGTGGTGCTTATATTGCACTTTATACCTAAGGTTTCAAAGCGTTTTTCAATTATTATCCCTGTTTATCAGGCCATGAGACCATTTTTTTTCTGCAGCAGCTCGAGATCAGCGCAATTTGGTCTTTACCTTTCACAGCTACCCATTTACATTCCTGGGTAAAGAGAGGCAATTGTAGTAAAGTGTCATGCCCAAGAACACAAGCACCATGTTACCCGTCAGGTTTCGAACCCACGTACCACAGCGCAAGAGTCGAACACCGCAACCATTGGACCACAGCACCCCACAGTGGCTTCCCCCAACTTTCTCTTTGTAAACTGTGGAGGGGGTACTTGTGTATGGAGACCATACAGTCACGATAAGTTGAACATGAATAACTCAGCTGCTAATCTTACCTTCATCCATGTAGTACTTGAACACGAAATCTGAAAATCCCTGAAGAACAAAAAACAAAAAATATAAGTTAATACCTTAAAAGGAATGCTGTGTTTTTATATTACAAGCACTGATTGGTGCCGCTTAGAGCTTGTGAGAAAGAAAATGGTCAAGATTCAAATCCCACAACCTCTTTCTTGTTCATTGAAGAAAATGTTTGAACAAATTGATTGCTGAGTTTCCCAGTATTTTCTGAGATCTCAACTTTTTGATGGAACTATTAAATTTCAGGTGAAAGTAAGTAGAAAGTCATCTTCGCACTGAGAGAATTTGAGAGAAGTTTTGTTAGCTTGCACTTTTTTGGGGGTGAAAAAGTCTCATTCTGCGGTAGAAACTCTGGCATGGAACACTGAATGAACAGTTACCTTGGTTGCAAACTGGTTCATGTATCGCTGCAGTCTCTCCTCGTTATCAGTCACTTCACACAGTGACACCAAGATGCCAAAGTCACAGTACTTCTCAGCCAGGGACGCTGCTCTCTCGTACTGACCCTGCTCCACTGAATGATCACAACCAAACCCAAATCAACCCTAACTCACTCAAACATTATTGGTAGGACAGAAGTCCACCACTGTGCAGGAGGCCAATGCAGTATTCTTTGTGTTTCAAAAGACATTGTGCCACGTGAACTACTTAAAGCTATAGTGGCTTGTTTCAAACACACTCTTTCAAAATCTCCCCAAAATTCCTGGTTAATTTGTAAATTTTAGGAGAATTACGGGTTAAACCAGTATGAGGTTGACTGCACAGCTTTCACAACATTGTAATCTCTACTTAGTCAACAAGTTAAGGGTACATCTTCTTTTATGTTGATCACACATTTTTTTAAACCATTGTGGTAGAACCTGAAGGATCTAGGACCGCTAGAATCAAGGGCATGTTCAATTTACTTGGGTAGGACTTGCAATTACACATGTGTGTATGGAAGCGGCTGCAGTCACTTCCCATAGACACACGTGTTATTGTCTGTAAAGCCGTAGCTATTTCGAACGCAGCTTAAGAATAGCTTGAGATGGTGGCAAACATGGGCCAAGTTCGGGCAAGGACCATTAGTCGACTAGTGGTTGATTTGTGACGTACCTTACGCCTGCGCACTAATAGCAACGTGCGAACGTCTCTAGTCAAACGCTGGTCAAAATGTCATCCCAAAACTTCTGGATCCTGGCTCTCTGCTAGCGTTATGAATGCGCGCGGCTATTGGTTACCAGCGAAGCAACCAACCCCAGTAGGCTGGTTCCAAATAGTTGACTAGCCTAGTCAACCACCGTCGACTAGACAGAGTTCGGGCAAACGTTAGTTAACCATTGGTCAACTATAGTCCTTGCGCGAACTTGGCCTTTGTTGTGAAGCAGTAGCAAAGTATTTCAGACGCGGCTTAGGACTATCTTGAGATGGTGGCAAAATTGTTGTCAAGCCAAAGTGAAGTAATTTGGACAGGCCTAAGGTGGACTAGCTTGAGCTAATTGAAACAATAACCGTAAATTTAAGCTCACACACTTTGACTTACATAGTGGCATAATCAGTACATGTCTCTCCTGTTGGTATTTCTGTTCCAGCTCTTCGTATTGCGAGCTGTCTTCTCCTGACCCCAAGCCGATGGACTCCAGCTGAGTCACGTACCCCTCCAGGATCAGGTCCGTCAGCTCCATGATCTGCTGATAGAGGGCGCCCCGCGATTGGATATCCTCGCCGTTGGGGATTCCTTGCTCTATGGTCACTCGGTGCTTGGTGAGGGTTGAATGAAGACAAACGGGGGAAAAAAATATCATCATCAAGAAGAATAAACTCTAACATGCTTTTGCTAAAGTCAAAAGGCCTGTATTTCAGACACAACTGGCCCGTATTTTTGAAACACGAGTAGGGTCCAATGATTTAGGCATTTGACATGTCTTAGTAGTTATTTCAGATATTTCAAATGTACATTGTAATTTGCAATGTTTTAAGACATTTCACTTTTCTGAAATTCTGTTTGATCGATTGTTTGAAAACTTTTTGCCACTAACAAACGGTTTTGACATTTCTGGTTGTGGCGAACATCGCTGATACAACAGTTTAATTCTGAATTACGCCACAGTCTCAAATTTAAGGACTTCTGACAAAAATGAACATATTTAAAGCACAAATGCATCAGTGTTACGTCTTACTAATCACTAAAATGTGGTACAACTTAAGATCTTTCACGAAATGTTGTCAATAAATCAAGGAGTTTTTTCCATCTATCCTCAGTTCAGAATGTAATGTACAGCCTTTTCGCTTTGATTGTTAATGCGGTAACATTTTTATTTGAATTTATTGGAGGTATGTTTCAATACCTGTTGCACTAAAAGACTTCTGATCCCTTTTGGTCCAGTAGATGCTGCAAATTATAAAAAAAAACACAAACAGTTAAAAATTTGTTCAATACTGCATTTCATAATTGTAGACACAAAACAGGACTTCATACTGGACATATATATTGGAAGGCAATCGCTCTTGTATTGAAAACCAAACATGTCACACATCCCTTCACACTGTGAGTGGATCGCTATATGAAAACCACTTAAAGGGAAGATACAACATTTGCAAACATCACAAAACGAAATGATCAAATTATCGCGAAATACCTTACTGGATTGTTGGGGAATGACAGTCTAAAGCATCCTGTAAAATCGTGGCTCCTGATGTGCTGACATTTGTAAGAAAAATGGTACTTTTCCAACGCTGGTCGGCCGTTCAGCGTTGGAGAAAACTGGCTATTTTTCAAAAATTGCTCCGAATTTTTCATTATTAGTTTTTCCGTACTTTCTTTGCAATTGATTACACACCTGTGAAGAGGTACAAGTCTGCTAGACTGATTCTCTGACTTTTTAATTCCCGAAAGTCTATTCATTGCTCCGTTTTATCTTATAAGTGGGGTCACCAGACTGCAAATACATGATTGGTTTTCTTGGCTTTTCCAGCATCTACAAGCCCAAACGTGAAAAAAAGTCATTTTAACAATATTTGCTATAACATACTAATCCTCCAAATCCATTTATTTCTGAATATTGCAGCAAAAGCAAATGTTGTACATTCCCTTTAATCAGTGAAATGTGGCTGTCTTAACATTTTGTAATCTTTGATATGTCTTCTACACACATTTTAAAGAAATAGTGCCAAACCTGTGGAATAAAAGTGCTAAGGAAGAATATTGGCATCTTTCAGTTACACAACTACAAAACTTGAACGTCGATAAATGCAAACTTTAAACAGTCTGAACTTGTCAGTGTGTCTGATTAAGGGATCAAACAGTGCTGCAAGGAGAATTTGATTCTCTTTCCTATAATACCCTCATTTCGACCTCTGCCCAGTTCTGTCTCAGTTTGCACGGACATCTCACATATAAAGCCTAGTTTCCAAATCAACATGAGAAATGCAGAGAGAAATGCAAACAAGACCAAAACTGCAATGCAGACATATGGAAACATTTCATCCGTGAATGTCACCGCCAACCCAGACAGACGCAAACTCGTAGGCAATTGGCACAAGTTCAACTTTGCCGATGGTTCCGCACACTGTCTGCGCAGTCTGCATAAGCTTAACATCGATATGGAAACTGAATGCGGCCGGATAGACCTGGACGACGACACACTGGCCTGGCTCACCTTGATAGAGCTGCAAGTCTACGAACATACGACAGAAGAAGAAGATATGGAAACTAGGCTTAGCAACTGCCATTCTGCTGGGGATGGCATGGTTCAGGGAAAGGGGGGCTAAAGTGAGACGATGATGTTGCACAGAATAACCTACCCGTCCATGGAATGTACTGCAATGTTGGCTTGGAGACATTCCTGCTAAGAGACTGGTAAACAAGAGCCTTGGACTGTCGCAAATGCCAGGCCTCTTTCAGCATACCCTAACGGTGAAATTACAAAAACAAATCTTATTATTTCTGAAAGATTTAACATCAGCTAACACCCTTGGTTGGCAAAAAAACTAATTTCTCAAAACAACAAATAACACCGATAAGGGGGGGGGGGGCAAAAATTGCATTAAACAAAAAAAACTGCAGGGAACCAGCTAATGTCATGCACAATATAATACATTTTCAAGTGACCACCTGCAACAACTATGGATTTGAGTATATTATGGAATACGCTAGAAATTAAAAACTCTCTGATCCTGTGATATTAAATAATTAAATGAATACTATTACAAGGTGGCCAAAAGAAAAATTGTCAGTCTTAAACCTAGACTGAAGTGTGCCTCAAATCTTAAATGATTTATTTTCAGAGATATACACCTGAAACATAGCGCATGTGCATTTTGCATTCAACTAGTTGCCGTTGTACCTGAATTATGGTGTTGACGTTGTTGATTACGCTAACAGTATCAGAGGAAGTAAGTTCGGTGGAGAGAATGTCCTTCTCCTGCTCAACCAGATTCTCTATGATCTCATGAATTCCAGAAACCTGAGCAAGGATCCAGGTTGAAAAGTAAGTTTAGTCAAGCTTTGGTTTATAAAAAGCAAGAGAAACCAATATTAAAAGAAAATAAGTTGTAATTGAAACTGTCTTACAAGTACATGTATAACAAGATAATGCAACTATTAGATGCTTTAAAGGTAGGGTAGATCATTTGTCATGCGTGTATTTCTTTTGTTGAAAGCAACAAAAGTGCTCATAATATAAAAACGGGTGCTTAACAACTAACCTCATGAAGTTTTAGCTCAGTGAATGCTGTATATTCAGAGAAAACAATATTCTAGGAGCTCGATTTCAATTCAAAAGTTGCAGAGTCAAGTTCTGCATTGCATCCGAAATCAGCATCCGAGACACATTCTCAGTCGATTGCAGCTACGCAATGTCACGCACTGAACCGATGAATAATATCAACCCTGTGCACGTGTGCATTGTGTCAACGCTTGCCCGCACCCATTCACGGATTTGCCAAATTACAAACCAACTACTAACGGAAATGGCCGCCTTTTATTGTTTTCTTGCCAGAAAGAATAATCTCACAGAGTTTATTGCCATTACTATCTTCAAACCAAGTAAACTTTTCAACAATAAATTTGTCAGTTACATTTTGCAAAGCTTCAATTGATCTACTCTGCGTTTAAACCTCGTAGTTTAGATAACTCTGATACATCACGGAATGTCACCATAATACTGCCAAACTATTAATTTTAATTCTCTCTGCTTTTCGGTGATTGCTAATGATGTGGCCAAACTTTTCACATTTTACACAGTACACATCAAAGGCTGCACTATGGACACCTACATGAACACAAGATGGCGCTTTGCGATCACTTCGAATGATAACACCGCGTGCGCATGCTGGTGTGTGCACGTACAGTGCAACATACGCATGACTTTTTTTTATTCCGAATGTGCATGTTCGCATGGGCGCCAGGCCTGTGGGCAGCAATGTGTTCTTGACCCCCAACTCTCTTTTTTTCATAATCGAGGGAGGGGATAAGCTTGTGCGCGGTGTCCATGATGTACTAAATCTTCCCAAAAAATTCAAACTGTTTAAAAATTCAAAACAACCTTTCTGAAAAGTAGCTAATTATAAAAACCAAAAAAGTTTACTCTTTAAAGAGGTTGTGGAATGCTCGAAGACATTTCCGTCATTTTTTGGGTATATGTAGCCTAAGGTGTGATGAAATAAAAACGACTTTTGTTTCTGTCATGAAATGAGTACAAAGGGTACTTTTGAGAGCTATTTTTCAGGTCCTGTTTCGACCCGAACCTGCAATTTGTGTAAAAGTCGTCGTTGCGGGCAGCAAACAAAACACAGTAAATCGTGACATAATAAACAGGACTCGTTTATGCTACTCTGTATCGGGAGTCCTGTTTATTACGTCACGATTTACTGTGTTTTGTTTGCTGCCCGCAACGATGACTTTTACACAAATTGCACGTTCGGGTCAAAACAGGCATGACAGGACTTGAAAAACAGCTCTCAAAAGTACCTTTTGTACTCATTTTATGACAGAAACAATAGTCGTTTTTATTTCATCACACCTTAGGCTACATATACCCGAAAAATGACGGAAATGTCTTCGAGCATTCCACAACCTCTTTAACAATTAACAAAATGGCAGTTGACTGACTTCTCTGTAGAAGACATCTTGCGGAGTGAGGCCAGCTGGAGTGTGGGTCTGCCCACGTTTCTGCAACACTTTACTGATGGCTCCATCCGCAAGGTTAGGGTACCTGGACACAAATGAAAGAAACAACTTCCATTCACAGAGAGCAGGAGAATACAGGAGCTTACTGTTACTGGAATAAATCCCGGATTTATGAATTCATCACGGCTCCGTCTGTGTTTTCCAGTTATAAGCATCTAGGTTCATGGGGCCAAGTTCGCGCAAGGACTATAGTTGACCAATGGTTAACTAATGTTTGCCCGAACTCTGTCTAGTCGACGGTGGTTGACTACGCTAGTTGACTATTTGGAACCAGCCTACTGGGGTTGGTTGCTTCACTGGTAACCAATAGCCGCGCGCATTCATAACGCTAGCAGAGAGCCAGGATCCAGAAGTTTTGGGATGACATTTTGACCAGCGTTTGACTAGAGACGTTCGCACACTGCTATCAGTGCGCAGGCGTAAGGTACATCACAAATCAACCACTAGTCGACTAATGGTCCTTGCCCGAACTTGGCCATGATTTTAGTCCCCCGACTTGACAGATTCCTGTATGTTGGTCAATTGTCTGCCAGAAATACACCAATTTGTCACACAAGGCCAATGATTGTTGTGTGTTCATTGGGTTTGAGTGTAGCAGGATTCTTACTAATCTAGGGCTGGAGACAACGAAGAAGGCCCAGGTGTTTTCTGTGCAAATCTTGAACCCAAAATGTTGCCCATGGGAAACATTTTTGCATAATGGTTGCTCTTTTACTGCGTCGAATCAACAAAGAGACCCTTAAAAAAAGAAAAAGTGACAACTGCTCAATCCCCAATTCTAGCAAACAGCTAGCACACAGAAGCGCCTGCCCAAAATGCCATCATAGTTTTGCTCATGAATTTGGAAATATGCATAAAAAGGCTTGGACAAACCCTGGACATTATATTGCCAATATAAAAATTGACAATAAAGTTAACTGGGAATAAGGATGCACATGAAGAATTGCATCCCCCAAAAAAAGAAACTCTATACATCAACAGAGACATTAACTGCCACAACTGTCACCAATGTTGCCTAATGGCCTCAGACATCAAGCATATCAAACCTCTTTGACAAAAATGAAAATCAAGAGCACAGTAAATCTGGTCATGCAGTTCCACTATAGAGCTTTCAACTTCAAGGAGGTGTCAGTTGAGCTATTAAAGTGAATGTGTACAAAATTTCAGTATTTGTAAAAAACGATCACAGCATTTGGCTCATTTTGTAGAAAATGCACTGGGCATACAGTATTGTATACAGAGAAATGTGTTGGTAATTAAAGGTACAAGTAATCTGAACAAATAATGTGCCCAAGTTCCGTGAAAAACTCTACCAATATGGCCACACCTCATCATTTCAAATCAAGCATTAGTGTTAAAGGTAGGGTAGATCATTTGTCACTTGTGCATTTTTTTTCGTTTGAAGCAAAAAAAAGTGCCGAAAATCCAAAGATAGGTGCTTATAACAACTAACCCGATGATGTTTTAGCTCTGTGAGTGCATTTTATTCTGAGAACACAAACACAATATTCTAGGATCTCGGTTTCAATTCTAAAGTGGCCCAGTCACGTTTTGAATTGCCCCCGAAATCAACATCCGGGACACGTTCTCAGTCAGCCGAATGCAGCTACACGATGTCACGCACTGAACTGACGAATAATAGCAACCACGCGTGTGTGTGCATCATGTCACCGCTTGCCCCACCCATTCACGGATTACAAACCAACTCCTAATGGAAATTTCCAAAAATGCGTCACTAGAGCATTGTTGGAAATGACCTTCTTTTATTGTTTCTTCAAAATGACAGCATGCCAGAAAGTATTATTTCACAGGGAGTTTAGTGCTATTTCTATCTTTAAACCAAGTATACTGTTCACCAATAATTATGTTAGCTACATTTTGGATAGCTGCAAATGATAAACTATACCTTTAACCACAATCACAAGGTAATTTTGTCCTACTCCATCTAATCATTTTAAAATCTCAACACTCTGTCAGCAGCTTTACTCTAAAAATCTGAAAGATAGTGCATGCTTTATGCTTGAAGTCACATTACATGGTATGGTGGCTGCGTAGCGCCATGGCAGCTGCCAGCTTCTCAGCATGTTCACACAGCAGCAGGTGTGTTGATAGGGGGCTCTCTCTCACAACCACTGAGTGAAGCTAAGGAGTCAAAAACAAATAAACAGACACACAAGTATTTATGGTGCGACTTGCATTCATTCATGTCTTTACACTCTGCACTCTGGGCCCAATTTCATAGAGCTGCTTAAGCAAAAAATTTGCTTAAGCACGAAAAAACATTGCTTAGTAAAATTAGGTTACCGGCCAAAACTCCATGTGATGTACATTGCTTGTGACTGGTATTTAGCTGTTTTTTACTTAGCATAACAATCGCATGGAGTTTTGGCCGGTAACCTGATTTTATTAAGCAAGACGTTTTTGTGCTTAAGCAAATTTTGTGCTTAAGCAGCTCTATGAAATTGGCCCCTGGTCTTTAAAACAGGTTGACTGATTTATAATAAAGAATTAACACCACTCAGATAAATTAACATTTTAAGTTTACAAGCTGTAGTTTTGCGATCATAACAGTCATCAGGTGTACATTCATCAGGTGTATGACATTTTATTCTCCCTGACTTGAGATTGGTTTTCCTCAATAAAAGGTTTTCTCAAACCCTGCTGAGTTTTCAAACATGATCATGAGTATTATATCTAAAGTTCTCCACCCAAGACCCTCAGAATTATCTCCATCATGATACCTCCATTAGGCCAACTCGTGACACTGCTAGCCGCATGATTTGCTGTGAGTTTTCAAGAAGTAGAAGGGTTAAGCCCGGTTCATACTTCATGCGAATGCACATGATGTCATGAAACATTCGCAGCGAAATTCGCCCGAGTTGAAATATGTTCAACTTTTACGCAGCGCAAATACTTGACGTCACAAATTCGTGTTCGCTTTCGCTTTCCCGCCGAGTATGAACCGGGCTGTAAGAATTGCCGCAAACTCAGAAGGCACCACTCACCCTGTCCCAAATGCCTACATTCTTGAGGAAGGACAGGAGATGGTCATGTGCCTTCATCTTATCCTCTAGCTGATGCAGAAGGATCAGAGAGGTGGTGGAGGAGGCAGTATCTGAACACAAAGAGGAAAAAAGAAAATATAGAATTAAGCTCCTTAAATATACCTTGACCATTACTAACAGTAACACGCTTGCAAGTTCTCTTGCGTGTAAAGAAACAGAGTTACTTTATCTACTCAGCTAATTCCTATGCATTTGTTTCCGAACCACCGCTCGTTTTAGAAGCAGTCATTTTACATGGCATTTCATCCAACTGTTACGATGAAAATAATCAGACATTGTGCTGTTTAACAGTGTGGCCAAGAAACACAAGTATGATCTTAATGGCAGTTCAGAGTGAACCCAGTTTGAATAACCATGGGTCTTAAATCTAAGGCAAAAAAAATAATAGTTCTGCTTCCGGTTTCCCTATTCTGACAGCCCCTACCCTGATTTTTTTTATGGGGAAAATGAGGGGAAAAACACCCAAATCCATCAATTTCTACCTTTTACCCTTGACTACACCCGGACGCCTCCATGTGACCCTACACACACAAAAATTGGCAAAAAAAAGAAATTCCCTACCAACCTACCCTAATTTTAAATGCCATGTAATCGGAAGCAGAACTACTTTTTTTTGGCCTAAATGTGCTTAATCAGGTGAGCTGCTAAATAAGCTGATAAATGTCAACAAAGGTAAAGAGCTGACTAATCTTGGTTCAAGGTTTGATTTGGGTTTTTTTTGTCCCCCAATGCAGCCTGGTAAAGGGTGCTATCAACAACATGAATCAAATTTAGTCTTGGGAATATTGGCACTTGGACCCAAGACAATCCAAGCATACCTCGTGTGTGCGCACTGGCTTGAATATAGCGCCTGAGGTATGCCCGAAATGTCATGTCTCCAAATGCCACTTTATTTCTTTGACTGGATTTGATTCATGTTGTTGATTGTACCCTCTACCGTTGCAGCTTGGGGCAAGTTCAATCAAGGACCCATGCACGTATGTTTCAGCCGCTCATTTAGTTTGCGCACATGCGCACTCAAAATATGAAATACTGATAATCAGCAGACATGGATGCATGCAGTCGCAGTTTGACCCACTGAAGTATCGGTCAACATCACGCTCGAAGAACTTTGATAAATTTTTCTTTCCACGTGGACAGGAATTTAAGGCAATCAAAGTCACTTTTGCAAACCTTAGCGCAAAAAAAAAGAGTATTTGATGCATTTTATTTTGTTTTTCCGTGTCGTGTAGTACGAAAGCATTGGGTCACAAATTCAAAACATGCGACAGTTTAGGGGATAATTTTTCAGTTTTGCCGAGTAATTGTAAACTTGTCTTCACTGAAAAATGGTAAAGGATGCCACGGAAAGTGCGATGTATGAATATCATTTAAGTCGGAAACCGTTTCAATGAGAAAAGTAAGGTCTCACGTTATACGTTTTTTTCGTTGAATGTAACGTTATTGTGCACGTACCGTACCTGTACACAGACCCTGGAATCTGCGGCCCGTAAACATGGCTAGCCACGCGCCACGCGCCGCGGCGCTCCGTTTGTAATCTTTCGACGCGTTGGAAATGTATACATTTAACTGAAACGATTTACAACTAACTGGTTCCCGGCCCTGAAATGCAGTTAAGTACGATCATAGAGGGCACTGGGACCAGTTTATTTGTGCACGAAGCTTTCAAAATGGGTTTACTCGAAAAATGACGATTTTTTATGAGCTACAGGTTTCCTTCTTACATCAAATTATCTGTAAAATGAAAATAATCTATCATCCTTTCCGATGGTACTACGGCTGATCTAAGGTAAACCCGGCAAATTGTCCAAATGTGTAAACCAAACTCAAAAGCGAACGATGTTTTTCCTGTTCATTTTGTCCGTTTTTTGTCCATAATTATTTTTTTTTTCATATATTTGAAAAGGTTTTTAGCGCCGTTACCACTTCGTAGAGACAATTTATATCTTTGTTCACTTGGTTTACTGATAATTTTTGGTTTTAATCATCGTTTAAGTACGTGTGAGAAGGATACATTTTAAGACATGAAACCCAGACAACCGTTCAGTGCGTCGTCTGCTACCGCTGTCTGCAAGCCGATGACGCGGAGGAAACCATTGCGCATGCGTGAGAAGACGAACTAAATGCACGCACGGTCTATGGGGCCGAAACATACGTGCATGGTTAACTAGTGTTTGGTTTCTGACATACATGTACCTAGCACATGTGCACTGAAGTTAAAGTGCCAATTAGTCCAACTATTGCCATGTCAGTGACCATGAGAAAATGGTGGTCGCACATTGGCTAAACAATTTGTCAACACGTGATGTTTCTGTTTATTTACACAAATATTGACAGTGTAGTTTAGGACACCTTACATAATCACCTTTACTATTGTACAATGGCGACAAAAGGGACAAAATCTTAAACTAAGTGAAATGAAATGAAAATGAAATTTAGCACTCAGAGTTGTCATTTTTCCGCCATTTTTGTTGATAGTTGGTCCCCTCTGCACTTTGCTATGAAAAATTGCTATTGATAAACAGCTATAAATCACAGCGCGACCAACCGCGGTAGGCTGGTCCTGAATAGTCAACTAGACTAGTCCAACCATCGCCGACTAGTGTGCGTTCCATCAGAGTTAGTCGAACTATGGTTAACTATGGTCCTTGATCGAACTTGCCCTTGACAGTGCTTGCCAGGGATCAGAACCAGCTGAAGAACGAGATTTTTGCCAGGTTTACATGTAAAGACAATCTCTCAAGTTTGATATGTCCACATGAATGGGCCCTGGAGTATGAAGACCAACCTTGAGGGATGGATTCAGCCCAGCGAGGATCGGAGGCAGGGAAGTCATCAATGACCTCTTGACTGAGCTTAGCAACGGCCGCATCCATGGGTGATCCCGTCTCCATGGGCGACGGGGCGGACGTGGGGAAGAGCTCCTCCACAATGGCTTCTGCTTGACTCTGAGAATGGATGGGCCACAAATTGCCAAAGTGAGTGCAAATTTAACGAAAATTTTTAATTTCAACGGTAACAAGAGCAGGGAGGTGATCCAGAAAAACAGACTAAAGCGTTAAAGGTAGAGAATGTCATTTGTGCATTTTTTTTTTTGAAGCAACAAAAGTGCTAAAAATATCAAGACAGGTGCTTAACAACTAGATTTAGCTCAGTGAATGCTGTATATTCTGAGAACACAGTATTTTCCATTTCAGTTCAAAGTTGCCGAGTCATGTTTTGAATTGGGCCTGAATTCAGCATCCGGGACACGTTCTCATTCAGCCAATTGCAGCTCTATGCGGTGTCACGCACTGAACTGACGAATTTCACTTCCATTCCCGGCTTCACCGAATTAAAAACGAACTACAAACGGAAATTTCCAAAAGGCGTCTTTAGATGCATCTTTGGAAAAGGACCTTCCTTTATTGTTTTTTTTCAAAATGACAGCATGCCAGAAAGAAGAATTTCACAGTGAGTTAGCCATTGCTATCTTTCAACCAAGTATGCTTTTCAACAATAATTTTGTCAATTACTTTTGGGATAGCTGTAAACAATACACTCTACATTTAATGCCTACAAAAAAATCAGAATTGTGCAATAGACCACGCAAACGCCTTCTAAATCTAAATGCTTTCATGCAATTACAACATGAAAAAAGACCTGTTTATGTAATCAATATCCAGTGGTAAGTGAACAGAGTAAAGTGTACATAACAGGTTCCTGCCAGAATGTTTAAAAATGGACATTTCTGCTTGAGTGCTGAACAATTAACAATGCTCCTTGCAAGTAGGAAGTTATTGGCTAGAGTCCAACCCCGGCAAACTTCTTAAGTTTGCTCGTAACATCAAGAAGGGTTGAAATACAACGATTCATGAAGTGCAAAACCCACAGCAACACATAATTCTCAATGTACATGTAGCCTCTATAAGGTATGTACACAGAGTACACAGTTATCTTAAAGAGAGGAGACTCACCAAGTTCTGTCGGCAGGCATGCAGGAACGCGGCCTTCAGACCCTTAGTCTTGTCCTCTCCTAGAGAGCTGATGTCCTGGGGAGGAGCCGGGGAGCTGATGATGGAAGACTGGTCCAGTCGGAGGCTCTGCTCAGCCAGAGAGACGTCTTGTAAGAAGCTGGGTTCTTGCTGGGTTGCGGTGACTGTCACCAGGCCGTAGTTGGTGGAAAAGAAGAGGGTTGTCCCATCACAGCTTCCTGTAGTCATCAGGAGGTATAAACAACAACATCAAAGGGAATATACATCATTTGCTTTTGCTGTAATTTTCAGAAATGGATGGAATTGGGGGGTTGGAAATATATAGCAAATATAGTTACACTGACTTTTTTGAGGTTTTGGGTTCGAAAATGCTATAAAAACCAAGAAAAACAATCATTTTCCTGTAGTCTGGTTCCCTGACTCCATATAAGAAGAAACATAGCAGTTTACATACATTGGGGAATTGTGAGGTCAGGGAACCAGTCTAGCTGGCTTGTACCCGTTCATAGGTGTGTAAACGATTGCAAACAAGTGCGATGGTCAATTGGGGGCCAGTATTTGAGAAAAAAAGCCAGTTTTTTCCAACGCTGGTCGGCTGACCAGCGTTGGAAATTGATACAAAAATACCACTTTTCTTGAAAATGACAGTATACCAGGTGCCATGATTTTACAGGATGCTTTACACTGTCATTCACTAACAGTCCAGCAAGGTATTTCAAAATGATTTGGTAGTTTTATTTTTTGATGTTTGCAAATGTTGTATTTTCCCTTTAACAGGGCTACTGGTTTTTTATTTCCAAAAAAAATCTCTGTTTTACATAACTTTCAGAAAATCTTAATTCCATTTCAACCATAAAACTCAATTAAGTAACTTGTATAGATCCCACTACAATCGGCATGTCATTTAGTGGTTGTAAATTAAAAATGACTAAACAAAATTTTCGGTCAAACAACTTCACTACAGAATTTAAATAAACAAAATCACCCGAGCATATACATTACAATTGGACTTGAACCGTGTACAAAAATTATTTAATGTTCACGTTTGTTTTATCTGGGTTTTTTTGTACACTCGCTGTAGAGTTTCTCATGTAAAGTAACTGTGGCTCCCTACCTTCCTTCATCCGCAAAATCCTCTGAAAACTTGTTAGCCCAATTTCATGGCTGTGCTTACTGCAATTACGAAACATCCCTGCTTACTGCAGCAGAAAATTCCATGTTGATGGTAAGCGTCTTTCACGGTAAGCAAAGGAATTGTGACTTATGTGCATGTGTACATCCCGTAACTTAGGATTCTTTGCTTACTGGGTTAGCGCAGAATTTTTTCTGCTAGCGATGTTAGCAGAGAACGGTGAGTGTAAATGCGGAATTCTGTGGTTAGCAGCGCCATGAAATTGTGCCCTGGTGGATTTTGGAAAATCTGGGAGGGTTAAGTTTATTATTTACAGATGTCCTCAGTGATTACTTTGAAGTGGAGAAAAAGTAACAGGTCTTGCTTTGGTCAAAACAACATCATGTGTTCTGAGTCATGTCATATTGATTGAAAATATGTCTTAAAGGACCTTTTTTTTTGGGGGGGGGGGGAGGACTTTGCATTGCACCTGATCTGACAAACAGGCTTCTCATCATCAATAAAACACTTTCATTTTGCATACCTGCACCAAGAATACTGTTCCCCGGTTGACTGAAATCCACGTTGTCAAAAGAACAACTACTCTCAGTTATGCCTGGAAAAAAACGAAGAAACACACACACAAAAATAAGTCAACACTGCTCAATGCTAGCACATTTGCTCGTCTTTGAAAAGCCCGGTTCAGACTTCAAGCAAAAGTGAGTGCGAAGCGAAATTCACGTCGTCAACAATGGTGGACGCGCTTCGAACGTACTGTTGACGTCACAAATTTCTCTTCGCTTTCACTTTTGTGTGAAGTATGAACCAGGCTTAATAAGGAAAGCTGTCAACACCATGATACTGAAAAACTACCGATAGGTTTTTTGTTAAACATGCCATTGTAAAATGTGCCTTTCATAATATCAATAATGCAAGGTTCTCAAACAATTCCTGTTATAAATCAAATTTTACAAATGCCTTAACATCAACATACAAAAACGTACAACACAAAGTTAGACAATCATTAAAATTCTTTTAAAACAAGGTTATCAGATAAGAAACAAGATCAGTTTCTTTCCTATTACAGTCTTCTTTGTACTATGTAGAAGGAGAATTGTTTGTTTACCTGAGCAGCAGATAACCATGTTTCTGGAGTAGACATGACAGGCCATGTTGCTAGGGCTGGCCACCAAAAGGCGGTAATCAAGTAAGGATTCCTCTTCAGAAACCTAAATATGATGACAACAATGCCAGGGAGAGATTCAGTGCTCTAACTAAGGTACTTGCATTATAAATGGATCACAAGGACATACGGTAACAACTCCAGCGCAATGGCACTCGTACTTGAGTACATATTTTGGTACTTGTACTCGTACTAATGGAAAAAACTTGCCTTATACTTGTACTCATGACAAAGTACAAACACTCATACTTGTACTCATGGCAAAGTACTCCTGAAAATCTACATATTTCTTCTTTTTTTAATAAACTGGAACAAGACACTAATATCTTACCTGGTACGGAGCAGTCAATGACAGCATCTTGAATGCACTGATTTGATCAGGACCTGCACCTGATGCCGACACTAATGGAATCAGGACTGGAACGAAACGGAGACAAGTGAGCGGAAGGAATCCAATACATCAATGGACCCCATGCACATGTACCCATGAACGGTGACAAAGACAGATGTATAACAGACACTCTGAACATCCTCACTGACATGACCTGCACAACGCCCACGTGAAGACACTATGGGCCTGTGTGTGCGCCAACAACAGAGGGCACCTTTGAGAGCCCATGGACAGGACACCGCGTGTGCGTACTGTACTGGTTCGCGTGCGAAGTACGCACGACTTATTTATCCTGAATGTGCACAAAGCTGAGCCATAGCGTCTTCGGGCGTGAGCGTCAGGCGTCGTCGGCGCACGAATACGTTCGAATTTAACTTTTGATGGTCTCCCAGACTAATCCCCACCACCAATAACTTTGGATCATTCGAAATACGCAGTGGATGGACCGGGAACCAGTCTAGGTCTCCCCCAACTCTTCTGGCCGTTGAAGGGGTACTTGTGCATGGAGCCCGTTGTGCTATCAACTGTTCTTGTGCAGAGTCCACTATGATAATTAAAGTTGCCCTGAAAAACTGCCAGCATTTTTATTGAATACAGTACTTTCTGGCACCTCGTAAAGGAGCTACAACATGTGTGAAGTCCCAAATGATTTTGTTTGTGTGTGTTTCCTGCCTGGCCTTCCAATCGAGGGCAGTAAATAGGTTCTATGAAAGAAAAGATAGCTTTACGATTGACAACATGCTGAAAATATTGCAATTTCTTTTTTTAATGCAATATTGCTGACCATAACAAAATGAATACATTTTCAGTTCAATTCTATTTAATCGGTCCCGCAAATAACAATTGGGTTAATATAAAACGCAGGAACCTGGCTAGACTGGTTAGTGTTTTGTACAAAGTTGTATAAATAAAAAGTGAATGTGAATTGTTTAGTCTTGTATTAGCCACAGTGAAGCACTAATGCAATCCTTTGTGAGAGGTTCATGTGCATCTAGGTAGAAAATCAATGTACACTTGTGATCCACTTACCAAGGGCATAATGTACTACAGGGGATGGTCTCGATGTGTCTGTTGCAGCAACAAGAAGAAGAAGGGCACTTTCACTGGAGAATAGACAAAACAAACAAACATTTATTGTCAAAGGTCATCAGAGTCAATTTTTTGGGGGCAAATTCTGTCAACCAGGATTTCAAGGAAAGCTTTACACAAAATACTCACTTTGAGTTTTTTGGGGGCAAGTTAATTAAATCAGATCGTAATGCATATACTCGCACTGTATTTGTTGATTCTGATTTTTTCCTTTGACTTTTGTTTCAAATACAACCATCGATCAGTTTGATTCTTTGAGTATTGCGAGTTGACATAATGGCTAAAAATGACAGCGAAAGACCATAAAACCCATGTAATGACTCAATGTCAACTGTGCAGTTTCTCAAACTTAGCCTAATTAGGGCAATCAATTCCTCAAAGACTAAATATTAATTAAAACATGCCATGATACCCCGTACTGAGGAAGACAACCCTGTTACCAAGTTTGTTGTGATGACATGGTTATTGTACAAATTGTCAGGAGTTTGGATACAGACTCTGTGTACAAACAGTGAATGGCACGTCATGAACTCTCATTATGGGTGGGACATAGTCTGGTTCCTTGTCCACATTGTCCTTTGGACAAATACGGGGACAGGTAGCTATCAGTGAACCTGACTTCATCAGGAGGCATTCCTCCTGATGTATGCAAATTATATGCATGCGTGTATAGGTCTGAATCCCGCCTCGTGAATTCAAAATCACAACGGTAATGATTGCGCGCAACCAGCCTATTGCAAAGTGGCAATAGGCCGCCCCACAAATGTGCCGTTTCTGAGGTGATGAGCTTCCAGTTTTGCTGAATTCGAAAGCGTCTCTGGCAAATATCAATAAAGAGAGGGAAATTACTCTTCAGTATTTAAAACCTATGCTGATGGAAATGCTTTAAAGTTTCCTCATGGAGACACTGACGATTTTGCGTACTTTTTGTTGTAAGGCAAGAGTGAGTTTTTTGACAATCGTGTGTTCAATCAACGTCCATGCACAAAGCTAAGCAGCGATTCAAAAATAAACAATCACGATGCGCGCGCACAGAGATGATCCAATCAATGGCTTTAAATGGAAGCTAGCTACTTGTCCCCATATATTTATGGGGGGGGGGGGAGGCCGGGAAACAGTCTATGTAAGACCCATCGCATTTGCACACTGGTTCATTTACCTGTGGCTCAGCGTGTGCAAGGCTTTTATCATTCTGAATGTGCATTTAACGTTTAACTTCCTCTGATGTGCACCAGGCATAGAATTAGAACATTAACCCTAACCGCCCTGAATCCTTCAAAATCCTCTTTGCCAAAGTGGAAGAATTTGGAGGATTGAGGTTACATGGCAAAAGTGCGTTACTGATTTCATAGGATGCACTTTATCAAGGTCTTGGGCTGGACCTTGTGTTGTTTTTGCTCAGCCATGCATAAATATAGGCCTGGATTATGCTTGAAATCCTCCGTACGGCTCCAAGATGTCACTGGCCAAGCCTCAACATATTGACAGTCACTGCCGTAGGATTTTGCAGGATTCAGGCAGTGGTCACCCCTCCACGAACCATATTCCAGAAATATTAGAGGAATTTGCAAGATTGTGGCTATGCTATTTTTCCATGAGGCCAATTGGAGGATTTTGCAGGATTGAGGCTACATCCTAGCAAAAAGGCCTAGGGAGTTAGGGTTAAACAGTGCCATAAACTCTCTCTTCATAACCGCTGAGTTGGTACTTGTACAAGGAGTCCATACTTCCAAAGTGAGTCGTAAGAATCAGCTACAATGTTGATATTTACCTAACGATCTGCAGATCCAGCATCCAAACCCTCAAACTGTCGATGGATGAGCAGGCCTGTCAGTGTGTAAAAACAGATAGCACAGTATCTTATCAGACAAAGTTCAAGACATGGAAGACAAGTTAACTAGACCAATCAATCTATCCTCAAAAACTCTCAACTTACCGACTGTCTTGCAAACCCCTTTTTGATCATGTTGCCTAGTTGGACCTCGAAAACCACCTGCAATGAAGGGGCGAATAATACATGCAATAGAAAGGGCATGAAATGAAAAACAAAAACCAATTTCAGGATTATATTTTAATCACTTTGAAAGGCTCTATCTACTTGGGGTTCTCAACCACAACCAGCGTGTCAAAACACAGCTTTTCTATAGGCACAGTCTATGCATGGACCTTCTTAAATATTCTGTAACATACACTAATAATCTGCCTTCCCATACTTATCTCAATCACTTTGTTCATCAAGTGCTCGCTGTGAACTAAAGTTTGTAATTTACAGGACAATCTCATCTAGCACTGAGAAAAACAAAAGTTGGCAGAACTACCACCGCTTGGCCTCCCTTATATACAAGGGTACTACACGTTGCTTTGTGCGTGGTGCAACAAATTTCAACTGAATTTTGGACAAACCCAAGAGACTCTGTGTAACGAGAATTCACCGACAGTTATTTCGGTGTCCAAGGGGTAATCAATTACCTTCTCTGCTCCAGGTTCAGCTACCAGCCATTTCTGTAGGATGTCCTCTTGAAGCACGTACACTACCCCTTGGCCATCCTCCTGGCCAGCTGATAACACTCTCTGCAATGTCTGTGAGAGGTTTTGAAATAACGGCAGTGAGGTTAACAGGTCTGCAGTCAAGCGGCACAATGAATTCCATGCATTAACCCTAACATTCCCCATCCAGTCAAACTTCAACACCAGGGTTTGTTGGAATCTGTTGGAGTGAGTACTGCACTAGTAAACTGATTATGCTTTACACGGTGTCAGGCATACCACCATAATCACAGTCCATTGGTTTGAGTGTTGAGTTTACCATATGGTGTTGGAATTTGCAGGAGTGAGGAAGGTTCCTAATAAATCACTCAAGGGGGTTAGGGTTAAAGTTGCATACCCTGTGATCTTTAAAAAAAAAAATAGATTTTATCTCCAACAACAAATTTTCAATTTGTAAATTTCATTTTAACGAAAAATCCTACATTTTTTTCTTATTTTGGGCATTTGCAACGCTCTGAAATGGGCTTTTATTTTGCCCACAAATTAACCCGCCCTGCGAGACCCAACTTATTGTCTGGCAGCCACTAATTCTTTACTTGGAAACAAATATTTCAATAACTAAACGTTGGTGGAATTTTTCGTTCGATGTTTCATCCAAAAGTGAATAACTTTTATATAGGAATATGGTCATTGAAAAAACTAATCTATTTTTCGAGAATGAAACTAAAAAACAGCAAGGGGAACGCATCTTTCTTAAATAGTAGACGGCATTTTGTGGCCACTGGTGCAAGCTCTGTGGGAGAGACAAAGCAGTATGGACACTGGCTTCACGCACACATGGCGAAGAAGTACGGACAACAATTGTGCACTGACCCATTTCAAGTATGCGTTGACCAGGCTTAGATAGGGATGTTTTCCTAACTCAGATGTACAAACACTGAAGGGCAAAATCTATTGAATTTGCATCACCCCGACCCAAATTCCGTATGAATAGTTGGGATACATGCACTTGTGCATAGAGTCTGTACCATGCCTTACTGCCTGGCTCTGCTAACACTGGAGCATCACCATTCCTTGCTTAGAGTGCTAGCTAAAAAATCTGTACTAACCCAATAAGAGCAGAATCTCTAGTTGCTTTTCCGCTTAAAAAATGGAAAAGCATTGGTTTTGTTCAGATTTTTTTTTCTATGCTTTTCCGTTTAAAAGCGGAAAAGTTTTGTTTTCTTTATTTTTTGTTCTTATGTTTTTTGTTTTTTTTATTCCACCCCAAATCCCATAAACTTTGTACATATTTTTTAACCGCGGCCTTTTTGGACCTTGAACAAACTCGTATTCCCATGAAACCTATGTAAAGACCCCATAGTGACTTTGTGTCCCGAAGAGTGACGTCATGATAACGTAATCATGGGTCATGTGACGTCATCTTAAATGTGCAAACTTTAAGACTCAGTCTGATTGGGTTGATACTCGGTATGTACATGTAGGTAGACCGGGATGTGTTTAGGTAAAAATTGAGGTGACGTCATCATGACGTCATCGTGTGAATTGATATCGATTTTTGAAGTTTAGAAGATTATCACCATATCTATCGAACCAAACATCGTGTGAATTGATATCGATTTTTGAAGTTTAGAAGATTATCACCATATCTATCGAACCAAACATGCTAAATTCAAAATTCTTTTTGTATTAGGCTTGTTAGGCTATAGGTATATGCACACAAATTTTGTAAATTAAGTGACATCACAATGACATCATTAAAAATGTGATTTTTCAAAACACATATAGAGTAAGTCTGATTGTCTTGAAACTTAGTTGGTAGGTAGATACTGTTAATATTTTGCAAAATCTGAAGTGATGTCATGATGACGTCATCACCTTATTGTTTTATTAATTTATGACTTTTTACATTTTCTTCCAATACAAAAATTTGACATTTTCTTTAAGTATTTTTTTAAAGAATTGTTTTCAAATGCGGAAAAGCCTGTGTTCTGTTTATCGAAATGACATAGTTCTAGTTTCAGAATGTACATGTGTTTACTCCTACCCTGGAAAGCACAATTTACATGCATGTGCATGCTTCTGCTTCACACAAGATTTGCAAAACAAATTTTCTTTTAATCAATCAACAAAAACAGAGTAGAAAACCTAAAATTTTAGTTTAAAGATGGAGATTAAATACAGAACAAAACTAAATATTCTGATAATTCCTCGCAACGATAACTTACTGAAGATGATTGTGGTCTCTGGGAGCCAAAGAAAAGAGAAGAGACCCTAGCCAGGACCCCCTGGGAGGGCTTCAAGGGATGACAGCTAACTGTGTTCTGGAGACGGGGAACAAGACCAAAATGGATGATTATAAACCAAGATTTTTGTTACAATACATGCTGATACACTCAAGTTCTTGAATCTCACTACAATACATTTTGAGTGGAACTCATTGCGAATGATATTTCAGGGCTAGAAATATCCAATGGAATACGTCCTGTGGTTTAACCATTTATCCAGTGCATTCTTAGATCAAACTAGATAGGTGGTCTGGTGGTTTTCACAATGCTGGGTGCTGCTCATTATAAAAACAATCAGCCAGAAGGTCTATTTGAAGTCCCGTTTGACCTTGTCAAATATTCATTTTGGAAGTAATGTCTATTGATTTATTGCAGATTGTGTTACCAATTTAGTACATGTAAAGTCAGTAACAAAGAACGTTCTCACACATTACAATGTACTTAGACACTTACAAGGTACAACTTGGACCTTAACTTGACTTTACGCTTTCTCTATTCACACTAAAGTCTTTTGTACTTTTTGTTTTATAGCTGGGTAAGTAAAAGTATTTGTCAAGGGAACGTGTGGGTGCTGCTAGCCTTGTAATTCCTGTACTTAGGGGCTTGTTCTCACTCACCTGTGTGTTGGAATCAGCCAGGTTAAGCAACAGTAGCTGGTTGGTAGTGGTGGCAAGGATACATCCATAGGGCTGTAGGTTGTCAGATTAAACATGTGTTACCACATACATTGTATCAGCAGTTCGAAGCTCTTACATTGTACTTTGTGAGCTGAATCCTTTTGTTTTAATTCATGATGGTACAGAAACAGTGGGAGTTTAATAAGGGAATAAATGTGTGCTTTGGAGGTGTTAAACACTATGTTTAAGGCTGGTTGGAATCTGGAATGCTGATGATTACCCGAGGCGAAGCTGAGAGTACACGTAATTATCAGCATTCCAGACTCCAACCAGTCTTAAACACAGTGTTTAATACCGACCAAGCACATATTTATTCCCATTCATAAATACCTTTTCGATTAAAAAAAATCTAAACTTTTCGGTCCAAAAGTCAAAACAAGTCACAAATTAAAAATTTCCAACAATTTTGTTCAACACTTTTACTTTCTGTTTTTCGAAACATCCCTCTAGCTATATAATGGAGTGTCCAGCTCGTGAGATAAGACGTAAACAACTCCTTTTATGGAGATGGGCACGCACGTCGCATGTGCTGCGCGATGACGCGCAGATTTAGCTGTTGTGAGTACAGTTTGAATTTAGGACTATGAAATACTGACTCACTGGTAGTACTACTAAGGATTATGAACGTAAGGATTGTGAACGTTCAACCCATTAAACAGGAAAAGGCACTGGATTTCATAGGAGTCCAAATTTCATGTGACACTGGAAAAGTGTTTAAGACCAGCTAGCCATGTCTTTATCATCCGTTTAAGACCGGTCATGTGACGGGCTCTTGACCAATGGGAATGGGTAAAGGTATTGATGAATTATAGAATACTACAACATCATACATTACAACACATACCTCAAACTGTGTTAGTGAGAAGCATTCTTCACCATTTAGCTCTGCACTGCTCTCTGAGTAAGCGCCCTCACTGGCGATGCTGGGCCAGTATCGGATGATCCCTTCTGGCGACGCAGCCATGACAGCGACAGTCTGGTTGTCCGGGGAGGCAGGAATCAGACAGACCAGCTCGGCCTTGTGGGATAGCTCGCTGGGTGGTAGGGCAAGCTCTTTACAGAAGGTGGCCTAATTAAAAAAAGGATGCGACTTAGGGTTTTATTTTGTAAACATTTAGCAAATATTCTAAGACATGTTTAAAGGGAATATACAACATTTGCAAACATTGGAAAACAAAACTACCAAATTTTTACGAAATACCTTAATAGGATGTTGGTAAATGAAAGTCTAAAGCATCTTGTAAAATTGTGGCACCTGGTGTGAAGTCATTTTCAAGAAAAGTGGTATTTTGTATAAATTTCCAACGGTGGTCGGCCGACCACCGTTGGAAAAACCTAACTATTTTTCAACTTCAGCTCCAAATTTACCCTTTTTTCAGTCCAAATTTTGTTTGCTATTGGTTACATGTTCATTAACGGGTGCAGGCCAGCTAGACTGGTTTCCTTACCTTACAATTTTTGGGCATCAATAAATTGATTCATTTCATCTTTAGTGGAGTCAGGGAACCAGACTACTTGAACATTTTTGTTTTTCTTGGTTTTTTCCAGCATTTTCGAACACAAAACTTCAAACTTGTCAGTGTAACAGTATTTGATCTATTATACTAACCCCTCAAATAGTTCATTTTCTGAAAATTACAGCAAAAGCCAATGATGTACATTCCCTTTAAACGTTTAGTCATTTCACAAAGGCTGATACCTGCCCATTATTTCTGCCTACATAGACTGAAGTGACTGCAATGATACAGCAACAATGACTGATACAATAAATATTGGGTAATCATTGAAAACGTAAAAACTGAACTATACCCCAAATGTAATCAAGTACTGCAGTGTTTCAAAGGTTTTGTACATTAACTAGGTTTAAAAACATCATTAATTATTTGTGCTATGTATGTTTAACTCAACGGAAGTTCAGTACCCTTTTTTATAATTCAGGTTTCATTTAAACATTTTGGAAAAATTGTAAACGAATATGGATTTTTTGTTTGTTTATACTTTTGAATGTTTTAAACGTCCCATTCTTCATTGATCTGCTTGAAACAATTTTACCTTCGATGATTCTTACCACATTGTCAGATTTATCAGTGTATTGCATTATTGTGGACGTGTAAGGCACCAGTTGCAAAGCAACAGCCAAAGTGTAACACACAACTGCCTTGTATCATCAACCAACATGACCAAGGCAACAGAATATTAATAATGTCTTGAAACTCTTTTTCCTTCCAATTTAGAACACTCCAAACGGCTAGTTCTTGCACATTTTCATATTCTCCTTGAACCACCAGCTCCCATGTAAGCATGCGCCATAGTAGTGTGAATTTGGAAATACTGACTCATTAGTAGTATTGCACATGCTTTGATATTTAGGTGAGTGACCAGTCACGTGAGAGGGTTTAACCAATAATGAGATGAAGAAGTCCGATGTTCATACCGTAGGAGTCCAATTTTCATATGACACCTGCACTACCATGTGTTAGGAAACCATTGTACACAGGTTGTGCTCACATGTTTAAGTTACATACCAAGTGTGGACATTCCCTTGGTTTCGTGTAGTTAAGAAAAACCAGTGAAAAAAAAACTCATTTTTCTCAAACTGTGAAAACCCTTTCAACCCAATTTTTTTTTCTATGATTCCCTTTAGTGTTTCTCTTCATTTTGCCACTGATAAACCTAACCCCAAAATGCCTCTAAACCTGTTTTCCAGAAATGGGGAAACACTGTGTGGACTTGCCCAAGTCCACACAACGTCGCCTCTACCTGGATTATGTGGACCTCTTTTGTTCGGAAGTCCACACAGTGAATGTAATGCCTGCCCATCAGTACAAACTAACAAATGTAAACTCACCCTTGCGAATGTGTTCTTGTACCTCCATACAAAGAGCCTTCTGCCACACACTACGCATGCCCAACCAGATGGGTCAATCCGTACACTCATACTTACTGAGCCTGCAAGTCAAAACCAAAACTTGAATTTTTCAGCAGAAAATTGCACTGGAATTTGAAATTCAGGACAAAATCCCCCCTCCCCTAGGGCTTCAAATGGAATGGACTTCTGACGTAAATGAAAGCTGTAAAAGCTAATGATTATTATTATAGCTAATTACTTCTGGTAATTTAAAACCCTCAATTCCTGAAAAACGTCTTGGGCTCTGTATCTCGCAAGCCTGAAGAATCCCGAAAAGAGAGAAGACAATGAGAAGAAATTACAGTTTTAGAGGTGGGAGGAAAACCCCAACTTCTGGAGAAAGCCCAGAGAATCAGGCAGGGACTGAAAACCCAATCCACATATTGACCCAGGCGGGATTTGAACCTGGGTCACAGCGGTGGAAGGCTAGGGAAGAACCGCTACCTGTACGCCAACCTAAAAATGTGTGTAGTAATTAGGAAATCTTATGATTTGTGTAATAGGTAAAAGCTTTAAAAAAAACGTACGGTCTGCCATAGCAAGGGCCTCCGAGATAAGAACAGGGACAGATGGGCCATAGTTCTCGACGGTATACTGTGCTGTCTCTGCAATCACCGAAGTTTGCAGAAATGACCGATTCCCGACAGCAGGGCTTCTGAAAATTAATACACAAGAAAAAAGTGGTTTTTTTTGGAAAAATTAGGCTTTTATAAAGCCAACAACTAGAGAAAATGTTGAAAATGAATACTAACACAAACCACTGGAATAGATCAACAAATTCACCCTGCAAAATATCTGCAGAGAGTTCCATAAAGTTCCTAAAGACAGTAATGGAAAAAACAAAAAAACTGTCCTTTGCTGCCTGGAAAACTGATTTTGATAGGGATGATATCTTTATATCGATTACGGCCTTTTAATATCACAGCACAAATTACTCTCACCACAATTTTGTATTATTACATGTAGGTTTGAAAACATTGTTAATTATATGTGCTATGTAGGTTTAACTCTAAGGAAGACTGCGTGAACATAAGTCCCTTTTATAATTCGGGTTTCGATTAAACATTTTTGGAAAATTTGTAAACGGATTTTGATTTGTTTTCGTTTAAACATTTAAACTTGTTAATGCCACATCCTTAGTACATGTGTACATGTACGACTCTAGTCTGTGCAGACAAAAGAAGGCAATTGTGTGTACATGTAGCCCCATAAATGTGGCCAATTTACTGGACTACCTCCGTAAATAAAGGCCACACTTCCACCATGTACAAAAACATAATGAACTTTGTCAAATTTTGATTTTCACATAAATTTAGGCTTAGTTTGTAGTTTATTTTTGCTTTAGAAGCATACTCACCCTCTTTACAGGCTTATCAGAAAGTGCTGCCTTTTTCAGATGTCTTTTTTTTGTGAAATTTCATGACGAAATTTTGATACGCAAACATGTGCAAACGAATCTGGAAATTTCATGAAAAAAAAAGGCAGCACTTTCTGATTAGCCTATAAAGAGGGTGTGTATGCTTCTAAAGCAAAAATAAACTACAAACTAAGCCTAAATGTGAAAATCAAAATTTGACAAAGTTCAACATGTTTTTGTACATGGTGGAAGTGTGGCCTTTAGTTACGGAGGTAGTCCAGTAAATTGGCCACATTTATGGGGCTATGTGTACATGTAGTTACAGGTTCTGCCGTCGATTTCATAAACAGTGCATAACTTACGCCATGTGTAGGACTTCAATTTGACTTTGATTTCACGAAACATGTCGTACATGTAGCTGCGCAACGTTAAATATTTTTATCATCTTGGACTATCATAATAACAAATTAACAGCTTTTACAACGGCTATTTTGGATGATTTGTTCATTCATGAAACAGTCGTTGAATAACCCCCGCCTACCATTTTAAAAATATTTCTTTGTCCAACTTCTTTGGAATCATGTGGCAACTCGAAAAATTACTCAAACACAAAGCGGTGTAGTGTCTTGTTGTATCAACCGAGTTGTGCAATAATTAACAGGCTCCACGATGATCACAATCTGCTAGTAAAGGTCATTTTCAGTCGCTAGGGCCTACGCTACAACCATGGAGCTATAAAAGACTGCGCAATAAGGCAGGGACTGGGTTTGACATAGTGTTTAATTATATTTATAGTGAGGGAAATCTTTGGGTTAAACGACGACGAAGAAGCCAAAATACAACACGAAAATAAAGATTCCTGTAAAATGTGAAAGAAAATTGCATTTTCTACTGAAAGAAAATAATAAAAAATATCCTGTAGGTTTCTAAACATGCAGAAGACATTTTGGAATGATACAAAACACTTGACGGAAAGATAGTTCAGTATCCTGACGCCACTTCTTTGGCTGTGTACAAAGTCTTTGCGGAAAGTTGACATGGTGAGTGCATTAAGCATTTTCAAAGTATTTTCTAATAACACAAACTTGGAAATGTTTTTCAGTCACTCAGATTCATGTCTTTTCGACATTTTTGCAATGACTGACCTTCACTGAGATAATTATAATACATGATGAAAAAAGTGGCGTCAGGATGCAACTTTCTTTTCAAGATGTTCCTCAAAACGTACCTTGTTCCAGCCCCGGAGTATGCAGGAAACGGCGACCGTCTCGCGCCGGATGAACTCCCGAAAATCCCGGCACTGCTTCGCCGCGATGACGCGCTGCTGCCGATTCGACCCGTACTAAATGGGGTGTATTTCCCCTTAGAGCCTCCAGTGCGTGGAGTATACATTATCTTATTAGCTTCTTTCCCAATGACTAAAAAATGTTCATGTCACATTATCATTAACAATTGTAAAATGGATTGTCAAATTACTGATCAACTCCAGAAGGTTTATTTTTGTACACTGATGATTTTTAGTCATACACTCGACTCGACTCGACTGTACTCCCGCGAACATGTGCGAGTACACCCAACCAAAATGCCCTGTCAAAATGACATCCGGATGGGAGCAATAGTATGCATTGTATATTAGTAGGTCGCCTTTTAGAATATGGTTCACGTTGCTTTGCAAAACCAAGTTTTGTGAATCAATTATACAGCGCCACCAAGATTTTGTTAGACTTTAGAGGACAAAAAACCCTGGATGCTGCACAATCTTGAGGTGTACGGTCAGTGGCATGGATGGCCTTCAAAGATGTATTTCACTTGCAACAAGTAAATACCGGCCGGGTTCGAACCGGGAACCCCTCGCGAGCGAAACGGAATGTAGCTGAGTAGTCGTTTGATGGCACTATACGGAATCTTGACGTGATACAGGGCTTTCTTCCTGTTGTTAAATATACGTGTGATATGCTCGCAAAATATGATTCTGCCCAGGTTCGAACCGGGGACCTTTCGCGTGTTATGCTGCGCCACGGAATTGTCATGGCAGTAGGGGTTTCGTTATTGCGAGTGCTGTTGTTAGTTCGATTCGATTTGATTCTCCCACCCAACAAAAAAACCATCCTAAAGAGGTTGAACCGGAGAACGTGTGCGTTGGAGGCACCCCTGAAAACCGTTGCATCACAAAACGAGAGCTCAGTTGTGAATTCAGTTCAAGTTGTGGTGATTTTCTTTGTTAATTAACGGGAAAAACCGTTTGATTCCCTATCGCATGGAATGCATTTGTCAATCTTGTGTGAATTCACTGTAATTAAAATGACACAATATAAGGAAAAGGTGCATTTATCAGAAAGAAAGTTGGTATATATTTTGATCTGGGGACCTTTCGCGTGTGACATGAACGTAAAAGCCAATGCACTATGGAATCGCAAATCTATTAGGGTTAGTGCACTAGTGATCGTGATTTTTGTTGTTCATCACAGAAAACGGATGGATAATACCCCCCCCCCCCCTCCTCTCCCCCCCCCCCCCTCAAAAAAAAAAAAATAGGTGATTCCGCCCCTGTTCGAACCGGGGACCTTTCGCGTGTGAGGCGAACGTGGATAACCGCCACACTATATACGGACTCCCATCTTGCTTGGTTCTCAATGTTTTGATTTGACGTTAAAAAAAGAGTTTGATATAAAACAAAACAAGAGAATCCGCCAGGGTTCAAACCGAGGACGTTACGTGTGAAATTCAGTGATCGTAATAACTACTACACCACGGAATCTGATGTTGGTTAAATTGATGTCAATGAGTGATTGTTATGTTGTTTAATTAATAAAAAGGGGGTTTAAACTGACCCAAACAATGATTCTGCCCGGGTTCCTCTAGCGTGTGAGGCGAGAGTGATAACCCCTACATATAATCTGAGGACGCATAGATCCCAATGAATGATTTCTTTATGGTCCCAGCGGGCAGGGCCGGCCTAGTCTTGTTCCTCACTGACGGACTCTCTCACTCACTGTCAATAAATTGGAATTGCTTGAAAACTCATCACCTTTGCCCCCTAAATTGACCCCGATGGCCACATAGATACCTCAATAATGATCAGGGATCAGCTTTACTCGGCTCGCATGTCTTTTGTGTTATCAACAAACGGAAAAGGTTTGGAATTTAAAAAAAAGTTGTCTCCGGCAGGATTTGAAGCGGGAACCTTAAGTTTCGCGTTTTCAGACGAACGTGATAGTAACCTCTATACTACCGAATATCAATGCGTTAGGACATCATGGCTGGGATATTTTTGTTATTACCAGATCAGAAAAGGGTGTTTTTTTTGTATAGTTGTGTTATCGAATAATTGGTTTATATGCTAATAGTGTCAGCTATACAGAAAAAAACTGACACGGGGGGGGGGGGGAGAGAAATGTATTAGAAACATTCCTCCTGCGAGGTTGTCTACGTTTACTGCAATATGCCGTGATTGCCGGTCGCAGTACATGTATTTCCAGAGGTTTGTCAACTTTTTCAGCCAACATAATGTTTCTTGTGGTTGAGGGTATAATTATATTAAATTAAACTGCACAATGATATGTTGGAATGTCAAAGGAATCACATTGAAAACATTTTGATAAGCAGTATGGCAGTGATCTATTCCGGGCTTATCGAGTCATGAGTCAACAATTGTTCGGAATTGGCTGTGGTCCATCAGTCTAAATATGAATAGCCAATAGGACCTTATTTTGGTTCTCCAGTGGTAGATGCCATTACCTCTTCTATCAAGCAGCGTGTGAATCTCCAGGAATTTGCAACTTAATACCGCTAGTCGGCACCAACCAATGCGTTTATGAGAAAAGCAGGAGCTCACCTAGGGAGAAAGTTGCTGCAGACTATTTCATCTCCGCAGTTGATCACCAATCTCCACAGTTGATAACCAATGGCACAGTAAGGCGGGAGGATCGATCGATCGGACGTAGGAAAGGTCAGTATTTGAAAATTTAAATCTTATCGTATATAGCGATCGTACAGTAGCAAGTTATCAAGAACTTAATTTCGAATCCATGAAACTCATTTTTACATAGAATACACACATTCAGAGATACTTTACAACTATTTTGGACTGTATTTGAGAAAGCTTGAACTCTTGATCTGTTTTTCTCATCGCTACAAAACAATAATATCAGACATGATGGAAGAATTGCAGCCGGCGGATGCGCCAGAGATCCGCGTTGATGATGCAGATGACCTGCATCCGATGGAGATAGAAGAGGAGGCGGTTGAACCCTATGAGGAAGTCGGCAGGGCTCTCGTTGAGTAAGACATTCTGCAATTTGCTTCCAGTGATTGAAAATGTGGGAATGGTGTGTGACCGCGGGATACGGACTTAATGACTGCACCGTGTTGCGGTGACAATAGTGATGAGGGTTGTTTGTATTACTGTTATAAATGACGAGTTGATTTTGTTGATTGTGACGTCGGCGTGACATGTGATGACGATGATTAACAATTTGCTACTGGTGGTGATGGTGATAAAGGATTTACGTGTCATCGTGACAATGCCATGGTGGTGATGGTGTTTGCAGTGGTAGTTATGTATGTTGAATGTTGAGGTTGGTGACCTTTGAAGGGTGAAGGCGGTGCTGCGACATTGGAGATCATGATGATGGAGATAATGTGGTGACTTAAATGACAATGCCATCATTGGAAGTAAGGATGGTGGAAGTGCGAGAACAATTTTTTTGCGATTATGCACAATTTCTCTACAAATATAGCCCTGCAGGTTGAGAGTAGTGTACCAGTGGCATAACAGGCTGGGGGTCCAATTTGAAAGGCGACACCTAGGATGGGGAAGGGGTGCATAGTTTTCTGCAGGGGGCACTCAGTGAGTTTTTAACAACAGAAAGCTAATCTATGCTCTTCTCAAAGTATGAGAGGGGTTAATGGGGAGGCGCACAGGCCTCGATCATGCGGATTCCCCTGATTATTCCCCAATCCCCTGATTGGTGAACTATGACGTAATACGATGTGTTTGAATGAACTAAATGCTCTTGTGTTTTATAAAGACTATGGTGATGCTGATGGTATATGATGGTGAATGAAAGTGATAAAAAGTTGATAGTGCCGGAGGAAGATCTATAATCATTGTCCGTCCTTGACCGCACTAACAGCTAGGAACGTCATTGTGTATGATGGTTATGTGCAATTAAGTGTGTTCTGCCTTTACATTTTTTGTTGTCGTTATTTTGTTGGAAGTTCCTATTAAAAGTGAGCTTTTGTGCACCCAATTCAGGCGTAAAAGATATGTGACTGACTTAAATCAATGACTTTCACTGCCAACAGGTATGCCTCATAAAACTAAAACACAAACGTGGATGCCAGACATGCACGTAAACACTCTTAAACGGAATGACCGAGTGAATGGCGTAGACGCGTATCATTCGTCAGTTATTACAACAATGCCATGAATGCATAGCACACATCGACTTCTACCGGGCCCGCCGGGGCCATGCACCCTGTGGAATGATTGCCATAACTGGCATAGCCGCGGGGATTACATTCCGATATTATTATCATAATCACCACCGGCTCAACATATATCGGTGTCGTGTCTGGAAACATGTTTGTACAGCGTGGTGATATTCAAAAGCTTTAATAAGCAAACTATTAATTTTCAAAAGGCTTATAAGTTCGAACTAAATTTTCCGCAGTCTAACGAGACAAAACAAATCCTGATTGTCTACTAAAACACGCATAAGCTAGAACTACAGGGTGAGTCACAAAAAAAGCGGAACCCACCCCCCCAAAAAAAAAATTATATTTCATATTTTAAAAATATGTAGCACCAAAAATAATAATGACTGCATGGAAAGCCAATTGCATAAGCTACTTTTAGATGAAAAAAAATACTGAAATTGCTTTATTCCGTTCAAAGAATATCACCATTTAAACGCAATGACCCTTAGGCCTAAATCTGTTTCGTCCAAAAAAGTTTATCGTGTATTCTGACTGTTTGGAACAACAAAGAAAATGACACAGAATACTTGTTTCAACAACTGTCACCAACTGTAGTACACAATATCTTTATTAACAACCCTGGTTAGGCAAACAAGATAATTTATAAAATCCACTTTCTTCTTTTTTTTTTTTAAAGATGGGCCTTCAAAAGGACTTTGTTGAATATTTCTAACTTTTAAACTGAGATTTTATCGCTGGTGATGTTTGAGGACAATGTGACGACGATTCCTGAAATCGCATTTTTGGACGACACAGGTTTTAGGGTCATCGTGTTTAAATGCTGATATTGTTTGAATGGATTGAGCAATTTCAGTAATTGTTTTCATCTAAAAGTAGTTTATGGAATTGGCTTTCCAGTCATTATTATGTTTGGTGCTACATATTTTTTTAAAATATGAAGTGTAATTTTAGGGGTTTGGGTTCCGCTTTTTTTGACTCACCCTATATCATTGTGGATGAAATGTTGCACAGAAAGTCGCGGTATAATGTGGTAATTTTAAACTTGTGCGTGTTTTTTTTTTGGGGGGGGGGGGGTGGTTTAAAACATGTATGCACGGCTGATTTTTTTGGTTAAACCTTTCATATTTGTAAAACCTCAATATTTCAAAACCAATCATTCATTTTGGCAATCTTTTGTCAGCGTGTATATTAACTGGTAATCTTCATCGTTTATTTTGTAGGTAAACTAGTCAAACGCCACATTATTGTCATCAAGATGGCTCATTGTTTTGTCCATTAATGATAATCCAAGATGAAAATGAGTGGGTTTTAACATCTCCACTGTGACGGGTATCCCGCTGTCAATCATTTAGGTTGCTCCAGTCGCTCTAGCCATTGTCCGTTGTGGACTTATCATACCTGCCATCACATCTGTAAGAAATTTCTGTATTATAACTCACTGGTTATGAACCGTAGGCGAAATGCCCAGATTTTGAAGAAAAAATATATTGAGTTTGGCGTTATTGGGCTATATCGCGAACACATCCGATCCTCGACAACAATGTGTTCGGGAACCTTCGGGAAATTTCGGAAATGGGAGGGATCTTCCCGTTTTTTGTCACGTAACTCGCGTAATATTATAAGGCCTACCTGACTACATTCGCCCAGAATAGTTGGAATCTCCGAGAAGTCCGACGCCTCATAGGTCCGCCGCCTCATAAATCCGAAATCATACGGACATGAGGCGTCGGACTTATTACGCGTCGGACTTATGAGGCGTAAAGTCCGCCTCATAGGTCCTACGCCGCATAAGTCCGACGCCCAATAGCTCCGACGCCTCATAGTCCGAAACAACTTTGTCCATTGTCGGACTTATGAGAGTTTGTCCATTGTCGGACTTATGAGGCGTCGGACGTATGAGGCGTCGGACCTATATGAGGCGTTATTTATGCCTCATAAGTCCGACGCCTCATAAGTCCGAAATTTCGGAATTATGAAGGCTTCAGACCTAGATGAGGCGTCGGAATTATGATACGGTCCCACTAATACTTTAGGAACTTAAATGAATACGGTTGTGGATACGTTTATGCGCACACATGTACGTGTTCATACACGTGCGCGTACTCGGATACGAGTATTTATAAAGTACATGTATCATTGTATTCACACTCATTTTGACATCCAATAACATTCTCAATATCCCCGTAAAAAGTATGCCAAGTGATATTTTGGATTGTAAGTCGAATCATGCCGAATGTGTTGATCCTTCGATTTATTTTGCTCTTCGGCTTATCTTTCTATACATCATTGCTCCGGATTCTCTCCCATGTTTTATACTTCATGACAATGCCAACCAGGCCAGCTTATTACATCCAGTAGCGGTTTTAGAGGGGGTGTTGCATTCCACTTTCAGCCTCTGACTAATATGAAACTGTAAAAAAGTAAACGGCCCCACATTGGCTTACAGGCGTCCTCGAAATCTACGGGACTTGATTGTTCGAGCTGAAGTCCCATCCTTAGATGCATCCCCTCCCACCCAGCATGGTACTTTCAAGTGCAGTTCCAGATGTGTTGTCTGCCAGATTCATATCCAGGAGTCTGACTCCTTTTCTGGCCACTCTTCTGTCACTACCCACAGAACCACTGGTAACATCACTTGTAACACCTCTAATGTCATATATCTCATTTCTTGCAGGGTCTGTGGAGTGCAGTATGTAGGTGAGACTAAGAATACGCTCAAGAAGCGTTTCTATGCCCACCGGTCAACGGTCAACACCAAGAAACTAGACACCCCTGTTGGTCATCACTTCAACCTGCCTAACCACTCCATTTCTGATATGATTTTGCAGGGCATTGAATCTCTTGGCCATCGCAAGGACTCAGTTCGCCTCAGCAGAGAGAAAGTGTGGATGAATCGTCTTCGAACTATTCAACCACATGGTCTCAACATCCAACTTGGAAATGATTAATCCTTTTTTTTCCCCTCCATTGTCTTCTGTTACAGATAATCCATCTGGTCTTCCTTGTTTGTGTTTACCCATCTTTCATCCCTTTCCACCTCCATACTGTTTCCCCCCCCCCCCGCATCATCCCTTCACTCTCACACTCTTTTGTCCGTTCCCACTCCCTGTGACCTTTGATCCTTCCCCTTTCTGGTCCCTCCCCTGTTCACACCAGACCCCTTGTGGTTTGCCATCTCCCTTTGTTTTTTTGTTTCTTTGTTCTCTCATCCACCCTCCCCTGCATCTATCTACACCTTTCCCACTTAATCCTCCTTTTGTGTTTCTTCTTTCAGCCCTGCATGTTTGTGTGCACCCCCATGTTAATGTATGCACCTCTGTCATTTCTGTTTTAGCCTCTGAAGAAGAACTTGCTAAGTTCGCAACGTCAGGCCACATTAATTTTAAGATTAATATGAAACTGGTAGATTTTGCCCAAAAAAATTAATGGAATGCTGAAGTTCTCAAAGGCCTTAGAATGCAGGAGAAATCATCGTACATTTAAAAAAAGAAAATCAGGGGCACGCCCCCAGACTCCCCTAGCAGGGCGTGCCTTCGGCAGCCCTTAGACTCAACTCCCTCCTCCTTTATATCAACCCCCGTTTCCTGAAAGCTATAGATCCGCCCCTGACATTGGCATGAGTACCGATACATTTTCTGTTCAGACTATTTCTAGCTCCCTGTCAAAATTTACGCATAGAGAAACAGTCTTGTAAACACGAAAAAGAAGATGAGACTGACGAAAGATAAGGATGCCAATCATAAGCGTCTGGTGAACGACAAAATAAATCTATCAGAACGGGAAAAGACCTCCCACCTGGCTTCCTTTTTTTTTTTAATTATCAATCAAAACATAAGATGAAGAAGCGTCGTGCGGCGGTTGTAAAAGCGTTCGTGTTTATTATCAGTTACCACCTAATGTGGCATGAACCCAAGTAACCGTCCTCAATATAATGACCAACAAGTTGAATGTTTATATTAAGATATGACAACCAAAGCCAATTATATCGCAATAGGGGTTGGTGTCTTAATCAAACGGCAGGGAATACTCCCTCTGGAAGACATCAAGAGTTGCATTGAAGAGCATCGATGTGAAGTGCTTTCTCCGGGGGAGGTTGTCCAGTTTGCTGTCGGTGATGCGAGAAGGCACTTTGATTATTTTAGTTGGATCCATATTTTGACGTGAAGGCCATATTTTTTTCCCATGGTATAGTGGGAGGGTTGTGTGAATCCAAGTCGCCGACCAGTTGGATCACAGTCTCTAATGAAGAGCAACGTACGTATCAGCTTTGTGTAAGGATTTTCAAAATAAATGCTTTTAGGGAAATTCAGTGTCCCTTTTGGCATATATCAAGAAAGATCAGCATGCTCCGACATGAATCTTGATACAAAGACTCCGACATCTTGATACGAAGAAGAGCGGCAATGTGTAGGCCCTAATGCACTGAAGAGTTCGCACAATCGGACCGAGTAAAGAAAATGGCGGTCTGTGGGTGCGAAACTTCCACAAGTCATCGCTTCACGATGGATTTTACTTTGTTGGATGCACTGTGGCCGTCTGGTACCAAGATCACAGTCAGAGCAGGGGACTCTGATCCCATTACTGTGTTGGATTCGCCCTCACGGCTCCTGGCGATGGGTAAACGGGACAAACACGGGTAGGTATAGGGTATATAAGCGACTATTCTGTTGTGACAGATTTAAAAACGGTTGATACCAATCAGTCTTCTGCTGAAACATTCTGCCTTCTGTCCAATCGGTACTGATAATAATTACTCAGAGCAACATCACAACTACAAAATTATGCGACTTGTGTGCGAATAAATATGTCATTTCCGGAAATAAGCCTACAATTCCGTGAAGAGCGAAACCCAATAACCGACGCTAAATTTCGTCCTACAAAATGCTTCAACTTCGGTCATTTGCTGCTATACCTGCAGATTCGAACCGGCCATCCAACCGCGGCGAGCTCGGTGGGGGTATAGTTAAGACGTTCGGCAGCATGTCGTGGGTTCCACTCCCACCCGTGGACAATTTTTTTTTCTTGCATGCTGTCGGACAAAAATTAGGTATACAGTGTTCATAAAATTAGGTCGGTGGGCGACAAAACCAAATTGAAAAAAATGGATATCCTGACGTAAAACCCCATTTGTAATAGGCCTATTGACACTTCTGTCTTTTCCATGGTTTTGTGAACTTTAAACATTAATTTGTTCCAACTTTTTGTGCCATATGCTTATTTGCTGTTAGGGCCGGTGCCCCCTTCTGATTTCCGAGAACACGTGTATATAGGCCCAGGCCCTATATAGGAATGAAATCGATCCCACATTTCAAACAAACGAGGATAGGGCATTTGTTGTGTGTTGTCAATCATTATTGTCAATGTAATTTGTAAGCAATCACTTTGTGATAGGTAACAGCAAAACAAAAGTAAGCATGCTGTTAGCACAACTTCCTCATAAGTTATGATGCTACTATCTGATTACACGCATTCCCTAAATGACATGTCATAAATGCCAATATATAATGGGCGTGACATCTGACAAATTATTTGATTCGATAAACACGCTGCACGTGTGTCCTTTCTCTATGATCTTATAGTAGCCTAAGCATTAATTTTGTGAACGTTTGTGAAAAAAACTTTTGGCATTATCCATATCCATGATCTTTTTAATTGTTTGGTCAAAGTGATGAGAAATTATGGCGATATTATGTTATCTATTTTAAAGAGGCAGTGACACGTCAGGGACCCGTATACCACTCAAGATGGTCCTGGTTTAGTAACAGTGGCAATCTTAAAAGCAACACTAAACTTTAAGCTATAGAATGTGGCAAAGTGGAAAAGCAGTTCGTTGCTGGAACTGAACTGAACATGAAGGAAACACGGACAATTATTGGAAATAGATTGCGGTACTGTGACCTGCTGTTGCTGGGAGAGTGAATGCAGAATGCAGTATAAGAAAAATGGATGAATAAGCTGGATGTGGAGACTCACATTTCCCATGTTTAATGATCGAATGTGAATAGATATATATTTTATGTCATTCCCTTTATAGAACTGTTCTTTCTCACTCCATTGTTCTCCATCTGTTCACGCGGCCCTCCCTTCTCCTCATTATGAATATCAAAATACCCACCCAACAAATACACAATCATTTGAAGTCAGTCTTCTCCACCTCAAATACTTCCCCTTTGTCATTTTCCTTTCATCGGTGCTAGACTGCTATAGTGGTTTGTTTCTGTTTGTAGTTTTCGGACACTTAATTCGTCCCCATTTTCAAACAAGTTGTAAATTGAACTTGTCGCCACTTCCATGTAAACTACACTAGAATAAGTATGAGTTAGTAAAGAGATAAAATTATCGTAAATCGTAGTTAACGTTGACACCATCGGCTGGGTAGTCTCTCGAGTAATGTTCAACGCTCCAAGGTACAGCGGTTTGAGCAGAACCTAAAGAATATGAACTGAACATTTTAAGACTATTATGGTGTGATAATTTTATACGATGTTAGTAGATGATATCGTTGATGTAACACCCTTGCCTGTTCTTTTCTTTCAGCGGCTTAAACCCGGTAGATTCAGTTGTACTGACATCTGACAGAGGCTATCTGCTTTGGATCAATCCAAGGGGCTCTATTGAGGTCAAGTTCAGATACGGTCGCTCCGGAGAAGATTTCAAGTAAGGGGATTATTTCTTGCTTCTCCTTTTACAGATAGATTTTTGACAACCATTTCTTTTCAATAAAACCGGAAAACATTGAAGTAATAATGCACAAATGTAAAAGCAGATAACTTTTAGGTACACTTTAATTTGCCTTTCTACGATGATACGATGGACGCCATAGGGATGCGATATTGCGTAAATTTCAGTAATATGCAAACTAAGTATATAGCCCTCATATTGTGTTCACGTATCTCAGGTTAATGACGGGGACGTGACCACCAATACAGACTTCATCTGTGAAACGACCCTGTACATTATTTTAAACCGCTTAATATAAGTCAATGCCCGGAGATGGCCTGGCGTTGGACTGTCAAGAGCACATCACTATAACGATATCGTCGGTGAACTCGGATCACAGCAGTGAGCCAATAGGCCACCTGGTGGTGACACGCGGGAGATTCGGGACTTCTTGTCGCCGCGCGCCTTGGCTACAAAATGTCGTGGATATACGGCCGTCGGCCAGTGTATCTTCAAATAGTTTCTTTCTACTCTACACATTATCTCGCTGTTGGTATTTATCTAATTGCTGGTGTTTATTAACTGCCTTTTTACTACGAAATTTACGCGCAAGATTAACCCATATTTGCTGGTCCCAGAGGGGCCAGTTAATTGTACTCTTTGTATCTATCTGACTGACCGACCGACCAACCGACCGACCGACCGACTGACTGACTGACCGACCAACCGACCGACCGACCGACCGACCGACCGACCGACAGACTGATCGACTGACTGACCGACTGATTGACTGACTGACTCCCGACTCCCCGACCGACCGATCGACTGACTGACTGACCGACCGACTGACTGACTGACTGACTGACCGACTCCCCGACCGACCGACCGACTGACTGACTGACCGATCAACTGACCGACTGACCGACTGACTGACCGACCGACCAACTGACTGACTGACCGACCAACTGACCGACTGATCGACTGATTGACTGACTGACTCCAGACTCCCCGACCGACTGACCGACTCCCCTACCGACCGACCAACCGACCGACCGACCGACCGACCGACTGACTGACTGACCGACCAAATGACCGACTGACCGACTGACCGACTGACCGACTGACTGTCTGACTGACCGACCGACCGACCTACCGACAGACCGAGCTACCGATAGACCGACCGACCTACCGATAGTCCGACCGACTCCCGACTCCCCGACTGATCACGGACTGACTGACTGACTGACTGACTGACTCCCCGACTAGGCTTTCTTATCTTGTTTAGAGGCCTATTCAGAGATTGCAAGCTAATTGCCGATCAGATTGATGCACAAAATCTTGTGGAAGAAGTGGTAGACTATGAATTTAGAAGCTTATAGAAAACAGGGTCTTTGTCACGTAAATACCCCCCCCCCCCCATCCTAATAAGTGACAAGCTATGAAGAACTTGACTATTGATAAGTGATGGAATTATTTTTGAATAAAATCATTGTGATGCAAACACACAACTTTTCTCAGATGATTGTTGAAGATACCAACCACTTTGTGGAGAAACCTCTTACTCACACCTCTCCCATTTTTACCCGATTAGCTCGTATTCACCTCCTTCCAGAGCTCGATCCAATCATGCGTTCACGTTGAGTGTTCTCATCAAAATAATGTATTTTCTCTCTCCAAATTTGTACCAATCAGCTGCTTCATAGATCCCCAGCACCAGGGCGTCACCATCTACGAGCTCTGCGGCAACTACCGGAAGGAACTGGTCGTAGACGGTCGCATGCCGCTCGCCAAGAGCACCAACCCGCACCACATTAAGTCGACCGGAGTGCGTCGGAGAGAAAACAACTTTGAATTCCGCTCCAAGAACAGTGAAGTGCGCCTGGTTTTAGAGACTGTACGGGATTACGATTTCCCGCCCCAGCAGGCGTTTAAATTCAACTATGTGTTGACTCTGTGAGCAAGCTCTGTTTGTGATTTTAAAGCGCCACAAAGAGGCTGACATTTCCATTAAAATAATTACAACCCTAATGCACCTGTACGTAGGCTATTCAAAGCAAAGAAGTGAGTTGCTTTTAAACTGCTAAGCTGTTGTTTAAGCTTTGTATCATATAATAACGAAATCAAGGCGCGATTTAGAAATTAAATTGTACTGTTTAAATCAATTTTTGTAAACAAAACATGTTGTGTGAGATTTGAGGTTAGAAATAAATAGTTTTAGAAGCTGATCGCATTTCACAAGTTTATTAACAGCAACTAATTCTAGATTGACATATTGCGTGACCAGAAATCGACCAAATATCCCGATATTTCACTTTCCTTTTTCGTCGGCGTTGGGAAAATTTACAAGCTGGACGAATCTCCATGCATGTTCCTTTGTATTTGTTTACCCCCCCCCCCCATGCTATTCTGGTGGTTTAAACAGACTTGAATAATCAAGTTTGGAGATCTACGTTAACATATTGCTATGATTCAATCATTACATTTTTGTTTACAATCTTTGATTTTACAATTGGAAAAAAAAAGTTACTAATCTGAATCCTTCCACTGCGTGTACCCAGCATTTCGTTACAGCGCCCTCATTAATTTAAGATATGCCTTAAGGAAGGCACATGTGCATGAATGTCTGTACATATTATAGCTTTTTAAAAAACATATGCTCCACATCTGCCTGTTTTCTCTTACTTATAATCGTAAATCCAATCGAATAATAAATAGTCTATAGTTGTATGCCTTATGACTATGAGACCAAATGTTATGACTGCAAATAACGTATCTACAGTCTTTACAGGGCAGGTTTTTTTTGTAGCGCCATCTATTGGTAAGGAAAGTGAACGACAGACGATTTTGTTTCTTGTTGAGGTGCGCATCCATTCACTAATACAGATGTCGCGCTACTGATGCTAATAATAATTTGCCATGCAAAATGCGTGCCAAGATTACAACACGACGTCGTTTGGGGCGGATCCAGATTTTTTTTGCAGGGGGAGGGGGTTTTCATCAGCAAAGCAATGTTGAAATGTAGACAAGTTTTTTTGTCCGGACACTTGCCCTCCGTTAAATCAATCGGTGGATGGGTGGGTGGGTGCTCGTACCATACTTTCAATGGGGGGCTGTTCAAATCCGACCATCATTAACACTATATTACAGAATAGTGTACAAATGCCCCCGTAACCCAGCTGGCTCTGTCCGAATTTTGCACAGGCCGTCATAATTACCAGCATATATTTTGTTGGGTGTCAGAGCGGGGGGGGGGGGGGGGTTCACATTATTTTTTTTATGTATTTCTATGAAAAAAATTGAGTCAGAGCAGGGGGGGGGTTGACCCCCAAACCTCCCCCCCCCGGATCCGCGCCGGCGTTACATGCCCGAAGATACATGTATACAAACACCACAATACAAAGAACAATCAGAAATATTTATCAGCCGCATAAAAGAAGACAAGGAATAAATGGATTCTTCAATTAGAAATGTTTTTCAAACATAATTCGTTTTGGAGCTAAAATAAAGCCAGGAGGGAATAATATTTTTGGTGTGATTTTGCTCAGGATTTGAATGTGTGTGTGGTTTTTTTGGGTTTTTTTTTTACAAAGGGCTGCTCAGTCGAAGGATTATATTATGGTAAGATTACTAGTATGGAATTTTTGTATCAAAATATGGAAACTCGGGCAGAAATGCTGAAAAAATAAAATTATTGCTGTTACATTCTTGTCACTGGAGGTCATTTTACACGCACTGAAGCGGCTGTCATGCCCTCTAGGCTCACCCATGACGCACTCGCAGTGAACGCTAGTTTTTGTTAACTGATAATTCGTATATAGATTTCTTAAGGTAATTAAGGCTGTCCAAAGAAAAAAAGACGAAAAAAGAATTGTATCTTCCTATTACGTTTCGAGATTACAACAATTCTTTTCCTAGGGCTGGCCAACATCCACAGAATAAATTATTAAGGGGAATTGTTAAAAGACTTCAGAATGTGACTTTTGGGGATCCAAGATGGTGGATCAGTGACTTCAAGGCGCACAGACCAATCAACGTGTAGCAGCAGCCAGTCAAGCATTTTGAAGGTCAGTTCCACGGAGTCGACAAACGAACTAAAAAGAACCGTAAAGATCATCAGTTTCTTGAATTCCATAATGGTTCAAAACACTATTGACGGCACCGCGCGATGTTTCTTCCATAATACTGTGACATTCTCGAGCCGTTCGCAATATAGTGAAAGTTAATTAAATAAGCAGTCTTGCGACGGCGCACTACTAGATAATCAGGCCTTTCCGGGACTGATGGAACTTTTTTGATTCCTTATACGCATCAAAGTATAGAATAAATTTTAGTTCTATACAAGTAATCTATGAACGAGATTTGCTCAATTTCATGGACGTACTTCGCCTGACATTCATGTCTAAAAAGTAGATTATTTCATTTGTCTTGGCTTCCTTATACTTATTTTGTCATAGATTTGTTGAGCCCAATTCGGTTGTTTTCTTATTGTCTTTAGGAAATAAAATGATGCTCTAATCCAGAATGAAATTCAATACCTTTGAGTAACGTAATGTAGGGCCTATATGATTCTTCAACAAACCATATAGGCCCTAATCCTGTATCATTGATCGTTAATGGAGTGCCACTGCACGAAGGGCGTAAATCCTGGAGGAGGGGATCTATCCCCCCCCCCCCCCAACCAGATTTGACCAGCGGGAGGGATGGGCCATTTGATCCCCCAGGATTTTGTGGTGAGAAACCAAAAATGCTGATTTGATGGTTATTTTGTAACTTTCCAAGTGCTCAAATGTATAAAATAGCAATGCAAAACGGAAAATGAACTACGCAAAAAAGCTTTAAATATTTGTAAGCGCGCCAGTTTTGCATAAGATGTACAGTTGTACGGCTGCTGCCCCCCCCCCTCCCCCACTCGCCGGCACGGATTTACACCAGTGCGGGTCACAACCGATTTTCATGACTTGCACTAGCGTCTTGTGAATCTTGTATGGACCAGGCGTGGCCATTGAGTGTAGATTATTAATAATGTGTGGTTAATGTTTGTCAACCGACACGGTTGAACAACAGGGTCCGCCGCACGGCTAGCTCCGGACGGACGCGCAAACTACCTGCGAATCACACTCAAATCCACTACACTTTGAAAACCGAATATGAAAGTGCTTAACCACTTATCAGTGCCGTATTATCGCGTCACATTAAATCCTACCAAAAGGAAAAGTTTTAACATTCCAAACGTTGTTGTCAGTAGGCCTATAATTATAAGCTTGTGATACGCAACTCGCAAACAGCATCGCAATATTGGATACACAGATTATACTATTATAACTGATGTAAAGACCCGACAGACCTCGCCGCCAGCTATATTCCTTTTTCTCGGTCCGCTCGATTTGTAATATTGTGGTTATATAAGTATAATTTTGGAAGGAGTTACTAAGTATAAGTGTTGAACGAGGCACCGAAAAGTCATTCTAATAATGCAATGAAGTCGATTTGAGTTATTCTAATAAGGCAGTGAGTGACTTCCTTCGAGTCGCGCTGATAGAGTCACCAAAAATTGCAGGTTTAATAACGCAAAGCTTAAAACTCCGTACGCGTTGGAGGCGTGATCTTTCCAAAATTCAGTTCCTATTGGGCCAAGTAAGAAAAAAAGAACATGTTTAGTTTCCAGCGGTTTTTGTTTTCAAGACAGCCGACAACCGTTGGTTTTTACACTGTTCAAAGATACAAAAAATGAAACAGTCATGCTGGACAAGAGAATTAAACATATTTACAGTGTTATTAATAGTTTTCCAGCATGATTTTACAAGAATTAAAAAAAAACACTGCCGCGCGGGCGTTCTTGTCCACGTCGAGGCTGGTTTGGAGATTGCAGGGTCGACTGCATGATGTGGGAAGTGACCGATAGAGTCAAAAATTAAAAGTTCCGAGTTGCAAGCATTTGATTTTACGATGGATCGGTCGACATTTTCTTTTTCCAAAAAAAAAAAGGAGAAACAAAAGGAGGCGGCCTCCAAGAAGGAAGCGGGCGGGGACGCTAAACATTGCTATTTTTATTTGGCCTTAATAAGCAGCAAGGCAAAGTTTGAGCCTTCTAAGGAGACATTGCATTAAAAGAAATGTTTATTACCAACGATAAGTAAGTATAACTTATAAGCATTACAAGATAATGACTAAATTGACTAAATTTTTCTCGAGGAAATATTAATGCACAACCATGCTTCAACAAATCCAAACAGATTGCGGAGGGTAACATTTGCACTTTCTTACGGTTATTCCGCTCTATTATGGTTTTGTTCATGATTCGTTAGTGGGGGAATCCAAATGAAAGTTTTTCAACAAGGCACGATGACATGGCAACTTTAAATAGCAAAATATATCAAATTAGTAGAATGTAGACTACTTTTTAATTTCAAACTGCCTATCAGGATTCCAGATTAGTCACTTCCGCTTATTTTCTCCGATAACATCGCCAGTTTTCTTCCGTAATCGTCACTCATTCAGATATTATCTGCGTTAATGTGCGGGCACAAGGCGATAATAAAACCAAGAGTAAATACAACGAGGTTCGTTCGTGCACGATATCTTCTCCTCGATACGTAATTACGGCCGTGCAAAAGTAACCTCATTCGGGCCCGTTCCAAGGCTTGACTGTACTGTTGATTAATGACTCCAAGTCAAATATTTACAAAGCCACCGTTCCCCTTCAAAAAACTTCCGCAATAATCCCCCAGGGTGAATCACCTGATTACCACCACCAGCATTTAGACCCTCAACTTTTGTTGCCATTCTGACCGCTTATCGTTTTTACCCCGTTTAATTATGTCCGCTACACTTTGATCTAACAACAGTCACTACTTGATATACCTACCCTTCATAATTAATTCTCATCCAGCGTCGGCATCAAGTCGACGCACTCGACTCAGTGGACCCACACCAACACACCGATTCGTCTTGTCACGGCGGTCTTAAAGGAGCAGGTGGGTTGTGTAGAAACATAGTCAGTAAATTAAAAAGATATATTGATATGATATAAAAATGATTCGTCCGGGCCATTTTGGAGAGCTAAGCTGTAGATTCGTGCCGGGCCCAAGATTCGTCAAATGTTCACGGTCACGGTATTAAACAACATGTTTGATATGTTTGCGAACGGTCAGTAGCAGCCGGGTTGAAACAAAGATCTAGTTTGAATTATATGGTGTTATGTTTGTTTCTTACACTTATTGGTAAACAGGTCTACCTAATGAGCTGTGAATGACATGTAGGGGGTATCATGTGTTTAATGTGTAGAGGGTGTTTAGTGTGTATAACTAGAAATTTATTAATTATAGATGCAGTTATATTTGTTATTAAGTATTTATCTCATGTAATACGCGTCGAGTACAAAAGGGGCGGCGCAAGAACTATAAAATCATGAAATATATGGTAACAATTGTCTTCAAATATTTATCGCGTAAATTTACAAACCAAGTCGAGTATAAGAGGGACTGCAGGGCATTCTGTCCGTGACACGTACATTTTTCATGTTAATACGAAATAATCCGCATCATTACAGTCGCCTGTTCAAAAAATTATCACAGGAACACCACATACTGCATAACGAATGAAAACATCTGCAACATTAGCTCTCTTCATAGCAAATTGCAACCGAACCAAAAACACAATTTTCCACAAGTTATTCACTGGACCCCATCAACGGGTGCTACAGGTTGACCTCTTATTTCTCTGAGCTCTCATTGGATAGATTTTGTTTATTAAAATCAGTGACCCG